GGGCAACATTCGTTAACATGCGACACGAAAGAAAATACAAGAAAAGGCATGTTGATTTCCATAGATCTCATGAATTTAGTATGGGCTGCCAGTTTTTATCCATCTACCAACAAGTTTCGGTGACGATGTAGGTTCTACTCCATATTCCTCCCAGTAAACTCCATCAGTTTTAGCAATCCATGAGCGAGATCCAAGTTTACATGGATATTTGTTATGAGGTGATAACCAAATCTCTACTCTAGAAAAATAAGCATCCGTTGGAGGTCCTTTAAACAAATAACATTGCAACCTTTTTTTTTGCAAAACCCGACTGCCATTTTTAAGTATGTGTTTTTCATTAAATTTCAAGGAGAGGATTGGAGCCGTGGGGTTTTTTTTCATCATTGCACCGAACCTTAAGAATCTGACCATGACCCAGTTTGTTTTGAATGTCCAACATTCCACCGTTGCACCATTCTGATGAATTTTGATTTTGGCTCAACCCAAAAAACATTGCAATAATTAACACAAAAAAAATATGAGATTATTCATTTCTTGAAGCAAAAATATTTAACAAAATTTCTTTTTTGATTATTATTATGAATCTAAAGACATTAAAGTACCGTAGTGTTTATATAAGAAAATCTTGTGGTATATATATATTTAATTTATTTTATATTTTCTGAAATTGAGCTAAATATAATCCAATTAATTCTCTGGCTAAAAGAAAATTTAGTATCGAAAAGTAAGGTTGACCAATAAAATTGAACCATGTATTTTAGCCTTGCACAATATATATCTAGCTAATCACGAAAATCAAACCAAATCTAAAGTATAAGATACAACATAATATTAATTACAAGTGTTTTTTTTTTCTTTTAACAATATTAAAAAAATATTTTACTACTTATAATATCAAGTCTTTTGATCAATACAACAGAACAAATTATAAACTACATAATTTAAAAAAATAATAAAAATTTGACAAAATCTAAAATTTTATCTTAAATATTTAACAGAGGACTGTCTTTTTTGCCTCTTTAATTAGGTCAATAACTAAAGTATTTTTTACCACACCTACAATATAATACAAAAAAACATCTAATCATGCATGTTCAACATACATGATATTAGGTGAATATGCTAAGATGTCATATATAATTATGTGAAATAGAAATAAACGAATTGTTGAGCGAAAATGTATGTTTATTTATGTATAGATTGTCAATATATGTGTTTAGGACTTATGTTTAGGATTCATGTCTTTACCCCAAAAAAAACCAACTATGTAAAAATAACCAACAAAAAAACAAATGATATAATAAATGTAACATGATCCTCAATTATTATTGTCTTTGAATTCTTCTTGAAGTAAAGGTGAAACAAAAAGAACATGATCACTAGAATTTGACTTAAGTTGAATAATTTTACCGATAATAGTCTTTATTTAATTATGCCTATTTTTAAAAGAGTTGAGGTTAACTAGCTGCAATTATTTTCATCGAAAGTATATCTCGAATTCAATTCATTAATAGTTAGTAGTAGCTAGTTCAAGGAATTTAAATCAATGAATTTGTTGTGAATAATATTGACTTTAGAGGGTTTATTTTGCCGGCAATATAGTATTTGCTAATTTGAATCGTCAAAGGTGTCTCTCCAAACAACTTGTCTATATTCAATTAGTTTATTGCAATTGGTGTATTTGTTATGGAGGATGTACGTAATCAAAGAAAATGTTGAAATTATGAATAAAATAAAATAATATGATGAAGGTGATAGAATAAGACAGAAATACAAAGGGAAACTGATGTACAGTTAATTCAATAATATCGGCTATATATAAAAGATTGTGATCCTTTTTTTTAGCCCTTTAAAAAATATTCTAATTTTCTTTTGGTGAGATTGTGTAGATAAAGGCCAACTTGGCATTTTTGCCCGTTTAGTGATCCAAATGCCAATCTAAATTTGGATAGATATAACATTTTTGTTGACCAAAAAAATATAGCAATTCTATGTTCAATCATAGAAAGACTTCCCTCAGCTTCTTGCAAAAATGAAGCTACCTCTTGCAAATTTTCAATCATGAAGTTACGACTTCCCTCATCTTCTTGCAATTCAGCATCCTTCTCTGAGATAAAAGCATTTTTGGGCATTTTTGAATCTCTATTGAAGAATATCAAGTGACAGCTGATCAACCAAGGAAGTTGGAGATTAAGAACACATTAAACAAGTAAGACCATCTCCATTAGTGTAACTGATGTTGGTTCTCTAAAGATTAAATTATTAATTGTTTTTTGAAGATAAGAGTACTTAAGAGATTCTTGTATTTCTCTCCTCCATTAGTGTAACCCATATTGTCTCTTGCTCTGTTTTCGTCGACGTCATTTTTCTTCCACTTTTTGCTTTGTCATCGTCTTGTTCTTCTTCTGTTGCTTCCATTTGTCTCTGGAGAACATTATGAGACAAAAGGCGAGATCTTCCTCCATCGGTTTGTCAGAAGCTGAACTGTGATGCTTTGGCTCGGTCACTGTCTCAACGGATTTAGTCTTTTTTAGTTTTTTAAAGTCGAAATCGAACAATTCGAGTTTCCGAGTTCGCTTAGATCGTCTCCGAGTTGGGTTAATCTTTGGTGATTCGCTTTCGCTTTTAACATCGTCTTCAGCGAATTTAAAATCTATTTCATCATTAACCATCTGAAGACGAAACGAACGAGAGAAAAGAGAGAGAGGGAGTCGTCTTTTTGGATCGAAAAGGAGGAAATGATTTTCTAAATAAAATAATATGTAAAACAAATAAAAATAAAAAAATAATGAACCAATCAGCTTCCTCCACGTTGCGCAAGAAACAGTTTCCTGCACTCCTTAGCTAAGGATCGGTCCATCAAAAATGTTGGGTTTTTTATTTAAATTAAATCGCTTTTGTCTATAAAACTGTGCCGAAAATAGAATAAAACACTTTGATGGAGCTGCTCTAAGTACACAACCCCTTGTAAGAATAAATTAAAGACTAGAGAAACATCAAGGAGATTATCATATCCTGTAAACATTTAACATATTTCTTGCCTCTACATAACTTTTATTATAATATAAGACGAGAGAAGGAATATATTCAGAATTCAGCTACATTATTTTTCGAACATCTCAACTACTATTGGGTGCCTAGGTAATTCCATACCAGGTCAAAATATATTAGAGTGATCAAAACGAACAATTTTTAGTTAATTGTTACACTCACTAAAACGACATGCTACAATGTCGTTCAATCATAGGTAGTGACGCTTTTACCCTCAAAAGCTGCCATCGTAAATCCTGCTTCGCTCATGCTTCGTCTTCCCTCCTCGATTCAAAATTCCGAAAATCGGATCCAGTTCTTAGGGTTTCTCGACCCGCCTCCACCATGAACTCCGTGACGGTTCTCGAAGATGATAATTATGCTGCTCAAGGTTCGAATTGCGTCATACTTATCACCATCTTTCTTCGCATTTTTGGGTTTCTCTGTAATTACATCATTCATTTGGGAGTTGACTGCTCGCATCTGGGGACACTTTTATTTCTTTCTCGTCTCTGTCAAATTCAGAAGTTTTTTTTATCCAACATTGAGATGGTAAATTGGATTTTATCCTTTGAAGTACCCAATATCCTGTGAGACTTTGTTATTGAATATCTATTCTTCTTCGCATCGGATTGTTTCATTCTCGTTTGCTGGAGTTTCTGCTCGCGGCTTTGTCTTTTCATTGCTTTTTCTTGGAATTTGGGGTTTGATTTCGTTTGGTGAGATTGTTATTAGCTGCCAATTTTGACACTAGTGTTTGGGATTTCGCTAACACATTGCTGAATTTGGCAGAGGTTCCTATTCGTAAAGAAAAAGGAAAGGCGAGCGTTCTGGACTCTCTTATGAGCAGTGCACAGAGGAGAAAACTGGCGGATATTAGCAACTTGCAGGATCTTTCTAAACAAATGAACAGAGAAGATACGCGCCAGCAACAGAATATGTTATTCTCTTCTAAGGAATATGCTGAAAAGCTTCAAAAGGCATTCCCTTTTCACTTTGGTCTTGTTGAAATCGTGGTAGACTGTATTTTGCTGATTCGGTTGCTTTTACTGATTTTGTTTTTGCAGGAAAACATGACGCTGATGAAAGCTCTGGCACACAGAAAGTATCCATCTTGTTCTTTAAAATATGTTGGCTTGTTTGTTGCATGGACGTTATTTTGTTGGTAATGTTGTTTTTTGTATTGTGGCTGCAGTAAAATCATCGAGCTGAGCGGTGTTGAGTTTCAGAAAATGAGGATCAACTTACGGAATGTGCAGGAAAAGAATTTGCAGTTTGCTCAGGCAAACAGTCATATGTTGGCGGTGTGTCCCATCTTTCTTTGGTTCAACTTTTTTGAGATGATTGTGAAATTATTTTTACTACATGGTTCACGTATGACTTCATTGTCTTCTCTTCATATGTTTCCTGGCAGGAACTCAATACAAACAGAGACAGAGTAAGCTTTTCTGGAACTGAAGTTGCTCAAACGAGGAACTTTTATTTCATTGTATTACAAGTTCTTAGATCAACTGACGTTGTATGTACATTTTCAGCTCAAGCAACTTCAGCATGAACTTGGCTGTAAGAATGTATTACTCGAAGCCAGGAAAATGCAGCTTGAGGCAAGTTATCCCCTTGTTCTGTATATTACCATTGACTATAGTTGCCTGAGAATCGAAAATAAGTTCTAAACTTAGAATTGTTATCTAATCTCGTCCAGGAGCAACCACTTCCATGTACACACCACGCATCCGAAGATAAGGTACGTACTTGGATATTCCTGGGTGACATTTCCGGAATAGGAAATTATTACCTTTAGTACTACATTTTTTCACGCTATTTGGCTTTGTTATTGACTTCAAGGTTCCATCAAACGTTTCTGATGGGTATTGCAAACTCTTTCAGGCGCTTGATATGAATCGTAAAGACACCAAGAGAAAGCGAACGTCGAGGATAAAACGTAAACTGTTTTGCTTACATTCATTGTTGATCCTAGAAAGCTTTTTTTGCATCCTTACCCTATATCGTTTCATTTTCAATTTCAGAAAGCTCCAACGTTAAGCCAATTCTGGTTAAAGAGGACGCTAACAGTAAAAGGTCCAAATCTGCTTATTGTTTAATCCATGTTTCCTGTGAAAGCTTTTGGCAGTCAAGTAAACCTGAATTGGTATTGATTCGTTTGTAGGAAAGCTTCTGAAGTAATAGATACTAGTAGTATCCCCGAAGTGACCTGTCAGACTGAAAATGACTTTGAAAAGGGGGTTGTCGCAAACCAAATTGTTGACAATGTTGTCACCAAGAAGTTTGATCTTGATGCAGCAAACCTGGTACAAGACACTGTGCATAGCAAGAGGTTCTTACATTCAGTGCGAGGATTACATTTCTTTTATTTCCATTTCTATTCCAAAAGAATGGGAAGACAAGAATATCTTATTTGTGCTTTAATTCCTTTGTCTGGTTGTTTTGGCATAGGCAATGTGTACGAAGGAAATCTACCAGGTTTGATTTTCAAGAAACTGAACAAACGGAAAAATTGCTTGAGATGGAGGATGCCAAAGAAATTAAAGAAACCGCAAGGTTTGTTAGTGTTATTTGTCCTCGTTCCACTTTAATTACCTACGTTGTTGCAAACTCTGAATGGAAATAGGCGTATTACATTGACACTGTCTCCGTTTCGAGCAGGCTCTCTTTGAGAAGACGGTCTGCTCGGTTAAGGCCCGAAGAAGCTGAACTATGTAAAAACTTCCATGAGAGAGACGAAGTCAGGGAGACGATCAAGAGGAGAAGGTTTGAATGACCCTGAATAACGTCCTATTTTACTAGTAGTATCCTTTATAGAAGCCACTATAAAAAATGCATTAGAGGTCACTAATTTCTTGTATTACTGGGCAGAGTCTCTTCAAGAAAACAGTCTGCAAGGTTTGATTTCCAAGAACCGGAAGTGATTGAAACCTTGAATGCCGATGATGCAGGGTTTGTTGAAACATATTGTTTTAGCTTTTTTTTCTCTATCCCGTTGATTGATAGCATAGAAATTGAGTTAGCTTACATCTCTTGCGTTTTCTCTCCTCGATAATTATTTCAGAAGCTTGGTAAGCGACGGATCAAGATCTGAAGCTGTAAAACCATCTGAAAGCAGACATGACATAAAAGATACAAACGGGAAACGCAGGTTTGTTAGTGACATTGAACTTCCTGATAAGTTTAGAGTCTCAATGATGTAATTTGACTGTTATCTTTGTGATGTGCTCGTCAGAGTCTCAATGAGAAGGCAACCAACAAAGGGTAAATCTCAAACAGCTACAGACACCGATGGAGCCATCAAAGAAATAGCGAAAGACCCGTCTTTGCGCATCGACACAGTTGAGGAGTGTGTTCTGAGATCATCATCAGCTTCTAAGGAAGACGACCATGAAAGAGAATCAAAGAAGAAGCCTAGAGCTGAGGAAACCGAAGGAATGATGAGAAGGACATCTGTCGGAAGACCGTCAAGACACGCAGCAGAGAAAGTCCAATCATACAGAGAAGTCTCGCTTAAAGCGAAGATGCGGCGAAACTGCTGAACCTCCAGTATTGTCTTTTTGGCCTTTTGTGTTCTTTATATGCAAAACTGCTGTTCGGAAGCTTACTTCATGCTTTTGTATATCCAAGTCAACTTTATTATCTTATGAACTATTCCTCCTGCATTTTGTCGTTATTTCTTAGCTACCGAGGAAAAGTTCATGCAGAGATCGATGTGAACAAATTTAGATTACATCGTATAAGCAATAGAAACTGAAACGTACTCAAATTTAATTAGGGAAGGTCTTTTTCTTTTAAGCGAAAACTTGAGGTAAAAATAAAAGTAAAGAAAAGGAAAAAAAAACTAATATAATCTATGATACAACAAAGAATCTTGATTCAATGAAGAAGAAGAAGAAGAAGAAGAACAAGAATTGGAATCAAATCAAAATCGAAATTGGTATGTACAGCAAAACAAATCAAGAATCTGAATGTTTTAAGTATAGTTTCTTTCTACTGCAAGTCGAGTCGGAGTTTCTTCACCGGCATGGGACTCATCACCTCTTCGTCTCCGTCGACCATCGAGAATTCCGGTATCGGCGGGATGTTTAGGTCAAACCCACGGTGGTTTTGATGGCTGCTGCTGCTGACGTGGCTTTCAGAATTCGACACGCTACTGCTTCCGCCGCCGCCGCCTCCGCCGTTGTTGTTCTTTCCTTCGTAGTGGCACCGTTTATGGCCGCCGAGAGCTTGACCAGTGGCGAAGGATTTGTTACAAATCGAGCAAACGTGCGATTTCACACTCCCTCCGCCGCTGCCGTGACTCACGGTGGTTATCGCCGAAGAAGTCGATTGCTCATCTCCTCCGGTGGTTTGAGTAAAGGATACGTTTTTCCGGTGACTCGCCTTGTGTCCACCAAGAGCCTGGTAAGAAGAAAACGCCTTGTCGCAGACGCTGCACTTGTGGATCGGAGTAGGAGGAGGAAGCAGAGGCGGCGATGAAGAAGAAGGCAGGTCAAGGTCACGGTTTCGATCTCCGTCGCGAGCAAGGAGCATGAGACATAAAGCGATATATTCATCCTCAGTGAGACTACTGTGGCGGTCGAATTCGGATCTTGATCGCTTAGAACGCTTGCCTTTGCTACCATGGAAGCCAACTGCAGAATCTTGAAACAGAGTCGGAATCGGAGAAGCTAATCTTGGCGAAGTAAGAGCTTCGAGCGCCATTATTATTATTAAAATTTTCAAGACTAGTCGATTTGTGAAAGAGTGTTAAAGTTGAAGAAAGAAGAAATGAAGGTGTGCGTATATATAATAAAAGAGTAGAGAAGCCGGAGGAGAGGAAGTTGCGTGTGAAGAAGAGATGAGGAAGTGTGTTTGAAGAAGAGTGAAGGAGTCGATACTTAATTACTTTTTAACTTTGATTTTATATATTAAATAAAAATTATAATGTGTGCGGACCAAAAGAAGATGAGATGAAATGAAAGTATCTAACTAAGTTTGGGCACGTTTGGTTTGACCTGGTACACGTGTGTGGAAGTCGGCTAAAGAAGACTTGTTCTCACACTCTTTCTCTCTGCCGCCTTCTTTCATTCTTATCAGCTAAACAATGAAAGGAATATTCTAGAGAGAGAGCTCTCACTTAGGAGGTGTTATGCTGACCAAACAAGTGGAGAGATAAAAATGCCAAATTAAGTCGGCTACTACTCATGCTATCTTTTTCAAACCCATCGAATATCTCTATCTACTTATCATCTCCTAACTACTAGTACTGACTACTATATATCAACGTAATATACCCTGATCTATATAAACATACAGTCTTCTTTTTAATTTCAAAAGGTTTGGCAAACTATTCAACTGACTTGTGCATCAGAAATTTGTGAATTTTTTTTATTTTTATTCACGATTCATATCTTGTTATATATCTCGTTTGGAGAATAATTTTCCCACGTTTACTAATAATTAGCATAAGTAATATAGTACAAAATGTGAACATCTCGAGCCGCTTCTAATTTTTAATCTTCTTAAAATTAGCGTCCTATATTTAGCATAACTCCATATAAAAGATGAGGACAGATTTTAACGCATAACCTAAAAAAAAAATTAAAACTAAAACTTATATATAAATACATCAAAATCGCAATATTCTGAAAAGAAAAGAAAAGAGAGAAAGAAACCAAGAACAAATCTAACATTTCGGAAAACTCAAACACCAAAAAAAAAAAAGAAAAATATGAAACGTCTCATACTTGCTCATTGTTATAGGGTTTTGCATTGGAGACACGTTAGGGAAAAACGTATTTATGATCGTCAACAAGTTCCATGAGAAGACAAAACTCAAGGTCCATTGCAAATCAGGAAACGACGATTTTCCGATCATATACTTGAAAAATGGGCAAGCAAAAGGTTGGCGTTTCAACGACGCTCTATTCCATGACACAGTCTATAAATGTGAGCTAAGTCATGGATATCACTTCTCGCATTTCCAAAAATTCGTAGCTTACACGTCAGCATGGAACAACTCACTCAAGAATAAAGAAAATGTGACATGGTTAGCCGTGGAAAGGGGTCTATACCGGATTTTTAATCATAGATCTCCTGAATATATGCATAAGTGGATGTAAACCAGTCATCTAATTTAATATTAATTAGTTGTGGCTGGTGATATATCCATGATTGGTTAATTTTATGTTTGATATTCTCGAATTGATGTCAACACTATCCAGAAATATACCTCATGTAAATAATCACATATGAATGTAACATTCTAATTAAATTGTATATTCGAACCCAAAAAAAAACCATATAGGTTTTTTTTTTTCTATCATTTTTTTTTGGTGAATATATATATATATATTTTTTTTCTATCATTAAGTAATGTATATTTGATATGCTGATAATAATTAAGACACTCCCCACTGAAATTATTATTTTTTTCTCGAAAGGTTTACGAGAACATACAAATTTTCTTATTTATTGTGATATAATTTATTTTTTTCTGAAACAAATGAACATTATTTCATCTTTCCGCTTCTTTTTGGATTTTTCATTGACAATTGATTAAAAAAATGGTATATCTCAAATCAAGAACTAGTACTTTATCTAAAGACGGCAAAATTTACTATTAATATGGATATACTATATAGTAATGTGTTTCATAAAAAAAATTGTCGCTAAAAAATAGCTAACCTAATACATATGATCGGTTACAATATTAAGAAGATTTATCAGATAAATGGAATGGGTCAGAGAAAAAAGAATCAATGTTTATGAAAGAGCGCGCCGAGCTTTCGTAAGCAAAAGAGCATCATTTTTTCCTTATAGATTGCAATACTTTATTCTTGGAATAGAAAAAAGAGTGTTATATCGTTATCGATTTTAGACAAACTGGAGAGCTAGTGAAGAATGGCATCAATATATAGGAGAATTAGCTTGCTAAAAGCCTAGAAGACGATCCCAACTCACCCAAAAAGAGTCACTCTTCGAATAGAAGTCAAATGAGCTTCCATGCTAAAAAAAAGTTTGGTTCCATATGGGCCGATTATAAATTGCCAAACTTCCAAAAGCTTTGGCAAACATGTTTCAACATTAGGAATTTAACTGTTACTTTTACCAAGAGAAAAATTCATACATACTTTTACTTTTTTTTTGCTGCTATATAAAGATTAGCTAGAAACGCACTTCAAAAGAAGACTACAAAAATGTTTACCAAAAATAAGATAAAGAACAAGTTTGCTAACCGTTTTCTCCATTTTTGTAGTCAAAATAGCAATTGCTAAAAATAAAAGAGAAGGATCTGAAAACGAAAATGTGTATAAATAATACCCAAGACAAGATGGAGAGTAAGTAAACAACAACAGAGAATTAATTGAAGTTCTGTTACACAGAAGAAAATAAAAACAATATGAACAACCTCTTCATCTCTCTGATTCTTTTTAGTCTATGCATAAGAAATACAATCGGAATAAGTAAAATCGTGCTCACGAACGAGCTGCACAACAAAATCCTTGCGGTGCGTTGTAAATCCAAGGACAACAATCTTGGTGACCATTATTTGCGCGTTGGCCAATCAAAGGCTTTTGAATTCGACGATAACGTTTGGAGGAGGACGCTTTTCTTTTGTCATATGTGGAAAGGGCCTAATTATAAGGTTCACAAAGTGTTTGATGCATACAGATCTAAGTGGAAAAGCGATTATGGGCCAACGTATTTTTGGATAGGAAGAGAGGATGGGATCTATTATAGACAAGATCCCAATGGTAAACCTCCCGTGAAAAGATATGACTGGAATCTTACGGCACCTTGATAGAAAGAGAGGATGGAACCTAATTTTCTTTTTACGTATATGTGTGTATCGTTTGATGAAGATACATATGTAAATTTTTTTTTTTTTTTTTTTGGTGATTCACTAAAAATTTTTTTATTCATATCAATTGACTACCTGTTTTTAGGAGAGAAAAAATAATTATAGTAAAAGCTGTTAGAATTTTCAATCTACAATCCAACTAAAAAAGAATAATATCTCAAACAAGGATAGATTTTTGAGTATTGTGACAATTTGTGAGATTTAAAAATGTACATGTTTACCTGGCACTATGAATTTATCTGTCACTTTTTTTTTTCTGAAGCCTTTCGTTTCGTTTTGTATAAGTTTTGAAAATTTTATATCTACATTCCAACGAAAACAAAAAGATAATATAATTGATCAAATAACATAAAAATAAAGTTAAGATTAAGAATCTGTCAGTCATTAATTTTCTTTGTTTTTTAATTGAGTTTTCCTTTTCACAAGTTTTTAAAAATTCCACAAATCAAAGATTTCTATCCACTGTGGAATTTTTATGTTAAAAATTCCATCAAAGATTTCTTGTCCTTTGTGGAATTTTTAAAATTAAAAAAAAAAATTTGGACACTGTTTCCTCTGTTGATTAAAAAATATCATTCCATATCATGTCAACTTTTCTTTTTAAGACAAATTAATATTGTAAAATTATATTTCATGAACGAAAATATGTATATAAATACCCAACATATATGTAGGGCATAGAAACATAAGAAAAACAATATATCAAAAGAGACCTCTAGTCTATCTCCGAGATATAGCAGACAAATAAAAGAAATGAACAATCTCTTGATAATTTCGATTCTTTTAGGTCTATGCACCGGCTTAAGCAATGGTTTTCACACGATAGGAGAAAGCAGAGTAACGTTCAGCAACCAGTTGGAACACAACAAACTCCTCAAGGTTCTGTGTGACAACGACGAGGGAGAGCAGCTTGTGAAAATCGGCAAAGAATACGAGTTTTCTTTTAGTGATAACTTGTTCATGACAACTCGTTACAAGTGTAAAGTGGATCAAGGCCCTAATTTTAAACATCACCAAGAGTTTTTGGCGTATGACGCTTCGTGGAGCACAATTCTTGAGCCCAGGTGTAGGTGGATTGCTAGAGAAGATGGAATCTATTTCTCTCAAGATGGAAACCCTCCCACGAGAAAATATGTGTGGGATGGTCCTCACATTCTTGAAAACTAGGGTTTTATGTATTTCTTGTTTGAAATCTCTGCTGTATCGTTTGTATGATGAATAATCTATATATCTAATTAATATCTTATTATATCAAGAATATTGATCTTTTTTTCCTTAAAGTCATATAATATGATTGATTAGCTAGATGCAGCTTCCATCAGCCGATCGATCCCTTGCTTACGATCGAGAAGCATTCAACCCATCATCTCCTTGATGGATCTTTATCAACCGGTCCTGTCCAATTTTAATAAAAATCTTATTACAGTTTATCTCTATTATCTCTTCTCGATCAATCACTTTTGAGTTTTTTTTTTTCCAGTGATTAGATTCGTGTCCTTTTACTTGTTTTTCCTAAACGAGGAATCTCTAATTTTTCTATAAAATGTTAAATTTTCTCATTGGTTTTTAAGACATCTGCAGTAGTGAGAAACCCAAAATGAGTTTTTCATAAATTTTTTTTTAGTATTTGAATATAATTTACAATTATAGTAAAATATTTAATTTTAAGAAAAAAATCAACCAATGATAAAGAGATACATGGTTTTAGAATCTCTCATGAATTTCTCGTAGTCTTTTATTTTGAGAGACTCTTTTCACTCTCTCTTTTTTATTTATTATTTTCAATAGTGAGAAATTCTCTAAAAGACCATCACAATACCGTTTTTGGGTTTTAATTATATTATTTGTTTCGATTCAGAATACCTAATTTTATAAATTCAGAACTTTTTAAGTTGATACGATAGTAAGAAATCATGCTACGACTATAACGAATATTTATTAATTTACTTTCATTATAATGGAGGTTGATTTTTTAAACTAATGACATTAATTATGTTAAAAGATTAGTGTGCATGTGTCAACCCCCGTGTTTGATTCTTCACGAATAACTGGCTTTCTGTTTTACACAGGGCGTTTGAAGAATCTTGAAACATTAATTGAAAGATCTGGAATTATTTTGGAGGTGTTACAATGTCGTCTTTTTATTTTTAGCTAATTGTTGGAGTTGTAACCAATTAATTAATATATTTATAAAAAATAATTAATTAATATTAACTATTTAAAATGTTAATATGTGGATATATGTAAATATTTTAAAATACTTAATATTTTAGTAATATTTAATTCAGTTATTATTATAAAATATTTAGTTATTGGAATGAACGATATATTCATATCATATTACAAAAGAGCTAAAACCATGACCATGACCCACCTAAAACTTGTTGGTCTAATCATAACCTTCCAATATTGTTTCATTACAAGCCATGGTTACAGACTATGGCTCCCAAGACATCATGTAGTACAGGTCGAGAACGAAATGATTAAAGAACACAATAAACTGAGGGTTCATTGTAGATCGAAAGACGACGATCTAGGTTTCCATGACCTCAACGAAACTGAGATCTACGACTTCAGCTTTCGGGAACACGTGTTCGCGACCACGCTTTTCTGGTGCAATGTGTGGAAAGGACCCGATTTCAACAAGCATCACCAGAGTTTCGAGGCGTTTTCGTCGGACACGCAATGGAAACTGCTTTGTGGGGGTAAAATTTGTAAGTGGGTCGTGAGAGATGATGCCATTTACGTGTTCAATACTAGAACCAAATATTACGCTTACGTATATGCATGGGATGTGCCTCATGGTAACACTCATATGATCACTTCTTCCACCTAGCTAGTATCAAATCTCGCTTATTTGTATTATTATTTAGAATAATATAAAAAGTTTTAAACACTGCAAATCTTGATTTGAGTATCCTTTTTTTTAAAAAAAGTCGTTACTTTGAGTTTTTTTTTTTTTAAATTACCGACTTGAATATGTCGAATTGAATTATCATAGAAATCATGGTGTATTCTAAATGTTTCTTTTTTTTTTGTTTTTGGTGGCTCAACAACAACATTTTCATTACAACAAAACACATTACAAAAACAGTGGTATGACGTATAATATGTCCGGTGTTCCAAAACCAGTAGTAAAAATTAATAGTAATTACAACAAATGTTCTACTCCTCCAGGGTCTAGTTGATAGAATAAGTAGTTATATAAATATCTGAAAGATCTAAGAAAAATCAGGGACCAAAAGGCAAATACGTAGATATTTTGATGAACCAACGGTCGAAGAACATCTGGAGAAGTGGAAACTGGAAACTATCGGAGAAGAATGGCACTGACACTGACACCGACCACTTCCGTTCATCTCCTCAATTCCACCTCCGTCGCGCGTCCTTACATCTTCGGCGCTGATTTTCGTCTTCGATCGCAGTTTCGACGGCCTGTATCGTCAATCTCTAACTTCCGTCTCAAATTTCCTTCGACAAGCGAGTCGCTTCGTTGCCTCTGCTCTCCTTCCTCCGCTTCATCTCCTATGCCACTCGAAGTCTCCGCTCCGAATTCTCAGGTCTTACTTCTGGGAATTAAGAGTTTATAAAGTTTCTTTTTTTCGTCTGATTTTTGGTCTTTGGAGGAGAATGTATGTTGCTGAGTTTCTTTATTTTTATTTGTTTGACTTACGTATGCGTCGAAATTGTGATCAGTTTCTTGATTGTTTGCTCTACTCAAGAGCGTATTGGGTTACCCAAGGCGTAATCGCTTGGAATGTGGATGTTGGTGAAGGGTCTTGCTACTTGTATGCGAGCAGTATTGCTGGTTTATCATTCAGTGAAGATGGAATCGATGGTGCTTAATCTTATCTCTAAATTTGTTACCACTGTCTCTGTTGAAAGGTTTTTCCTTTTTATCAAATTTCATTGGTTCTCAGGTTATGATTTCAGTCTCAAGCTCGAAGCTGAATCCGGATCACTTCCTACAAATGTAAGTTGTGCATCCTCTGCCTTTCTGTTTTCTTCATATGAGTAGAGAATCTGACAATATGTTAGGAAATCAAAGAAAAATCTCAAAGTGGAAGTCTTGATTTCAGGTGATTGAGAAGTTTCCACATATCAGGAATTACAAACCGTTCAAAGTTCCTTCGGATTTGGATATCAGGGATCTTGTCAAAAGCCAGCTAGCTGTTGTTTGCTTTGATGGTAAGAGTTGTCTCCTTTCTTGTTTAGGAGATTGAATTATTTAATGTTTGTTTAATTTTCTGCAGCGGAAGGACGGCTGATACAGGGAACTGGGTTGCAATTGCCTGGCGTCTTAGATGAATTGTTCTCATATGACGGTCCCTTAGGTGCACATTTTACACCAGAGGGTGTCTCTCTTCACCTCTGGGCTCCCACTTCTCAAGTATGATTCTCATGTTGGTGTTACCTTTCGTTAAGCCTGCGTTAAACATTATTAACTCTTTTTTGTGCTCATTTGTGCATGTAAGTAGGCTGTTTCTGTATGCATCTACAAAAACCCACTTGACAAGAGTCCGATGGAAATCTGCCCACTCAAAGAGGTTAATGGTGTGTGGAGCACTGAAGGACCTAGTAGTTGGGAAGGGTGCTATTATGTTTATGAAGTATCAGTCTATCATCCAAGCACCTTGAAAGTGGAAACTTGCTATGCAAATGATCCTTATGCACGAGGGTATGGTATTTTTCAATTAATGTACATAGAAGTATCATACAATGTTTTTGTCCAAATGAGTCATGTGTGATTATTTTCTTTTTCTTTCTCAAGCAGGCTTTCAGCAGATGGTAGCAAAACTTTGCTAGTTAATCTTAATTCCGATGATCTAAAACCTGAAGGATGGGACAAATTAGCAGATACGAAGCCATGCCTGAGATCCTACTCAGATATAAGTATTTATGAGCTGCATGTGAGGGATTTCAGGTAATTAGAGTCTATTTTGCAGATTTATGGTATGCTTCTGCCTAGATGTAAATTGTGCTTGTGACTATGGGGAAGATATTTGTGTGCCCTATGTTTGTTTACTCCAGACTTATAATTACAGTATGACAACTGTGAAGTCATTTTATTTTGCTATTGCAGGTTTACCGTTTCTTCTTATTTGTCTAATTCTTACCTGCTATTTCAGTGCCAATGATGAGACCGTTGGACCTGAGAATCGTGGTGGATATCTGGCTTTCACTTTTAAGGTGCAAATTTCATTGTCCATGTGCATAAGCATAAATTTATCATCTTACTTGATATATGTTTTCACATGTTTTACTAGTGATCAAATTTAGTTATACTTCTAATACTTCTGATACATTCGCTGCTCTGGCATCATCGTGTTTTGTGCCTATTGGCAGGATTCTGCAGGTGTGAAACATCTTCAGAAATTAGCGGATGCAGGTCTCACCCATCTACATCTTCTTCCAACATATCAGTTTGGTGATGTTGATGATGAGAAGGAGAACTGGAAGTCTATAGGTAGGGTATCTTTGATGTCTCAAGCGCTTACTTAATATTTTGCTCAAGCGTATACTTAATATTTTGCACTTAAGTTGGAGCTCAAAACCTGGAAGGACAGTAAGTAAGTCTTCAGACAAATAGAAACATAAGTAAAACTAACAAAGTCGTCTTTCCTGTTTTTGTTTTTTTTTTTTTGTATCTAGAATATTACTGTTCGCATAATGATGACCTGTTTGTGGGTAGACAGCAGTCTTCTGAAAGGATTACCACCTGATTCAGCTGAGGCGCAAGCTCGTATTACAGAAATCCAGAATGATGATGGCTATAACTGGGGGTAGTCTGTTGTACGCAAGTTACTCCATTCATTATGAAGCCCTTGATAACAAGCTTCCTGTTTCGTGAAGGTATAATCCTGTGCTCTGGGGAGTCCCAAAAGGAAGCTACGCTAGTGATCCGAATGGTCCATGCCGTATAATTGAATTCAGAAAAATGGTTCAGGTTTGCATTTTTCCATGTTTGGATATTGAAAATCGGATAAAAAGATTATACTGCTCCTGGTGATTTGTAACATCAATAAGCTTATTGAAAGCTAAATATTGTAGTGATTCATACAAGGTGTTTCAATAAACCCCCATGCTGTTTTTTAGTTTGCTCAGCTTCTTTTTGCAGGCTCTTAATCGTACGGGTCTTAATGTCGTCTTAGACGTTGTTTATAACCACTTGCATGCAAATGGGCCACACGACAAAGACTCTGTTCTTGATAAGGTGAGCACCTAACTAATATTATATTGATTTCAGTCTGATAACTATCTGTCTAGCGTGAGTTCTATATCTTCCATGACAAAATTTGTTTGCTTAGATAGTTCCAGGCTACTATTTGAGAAGGAACAATGATGGTTTTATTGAAAACAGTACATGCGTAAACAACACTGCCAGCGAGCATTATATGGTTGATCGTCTGATACGGGACGATCTATTAAACTGGGTTGTTAACTATAAGGTACATGCTGGTCATCTATACTGACTACTTTTCCTCTTGCTACTTTCTTCCTCTTCTCACATTAAGTAAATATTATCGTTCTTCATGTACCTTCCAACCTTTGATTTACTGAACATGACAAGGTTTACTGTATTCTGCATTATTACGCTAAGTTTTTTTGTCCTTATATATTCCGGCTGGTTGATCATGTGCTGATTCTGTCAGGTTGATGGTTTCCGTTTTGATCTCATGGGTCATATAATGAAAGATACAATGGTAAGCCGACAGTTTACTTTTTAGTTGGGTCCTTCTCAGTCATATACTCATATCTGGTTTCATTAAGTTTTGTTGTAATATTTCAATTTTACAATAGTTTTAATGTGAATTGTAATTACTTTGTTCCTAAGGTAAAAGCAAAATCTGCAATTGGTAGCTTGAGAAAGGAAACAGATGGAGTTGATGGCTCAAGAATTTATTTGTAAGTCTTGGCTCATTATTGGACTTACGTGCAATTTTTTCAGACATTAGTTGCATCTTTTTTTGTTTCTGATGAAAAAATTTTGGCCATATCATTTTTTTGTGTGCTCTGTTCATCAGATATGGCGAAGGATGGAACTTTGGTGAAGTTGCTCAAAATGGACGTGGAATAAATGCTTCACAGTTCAACTTAAGCGGGACTGGAATTGGAAGGTGTGAAGTTTATTGCTTCAATACATCTGAAAGAAAGAGTTTTTCATTCCCTTTTCCTCTGTGTTTTATTTACCGAATTTCCTGAAGCTGGACGTCTTATCACTGTCTTCAGTTATTATTCAACATCTCCCTGATTTTCTTTTGTTTTACCTGGAAATTTATATCTCTATTCAGTTTTAACGACCGTATACGAGATGCAACTCTTGGTGGATCTCCGTTTGGTCATCCTCTTCAACAAGGATTCATTACAGGTTTACTGTTACAGGTATGTTTGATTTTATTTTGTGCTGTTACCCGTGAAGATATCATCACTGAATTGTTTTAGCGCTCCCACCAAGGTTTAAAATAAAGAATATGGTACCAGACCACATAATCACTTTCATCCCCACTTTCACATAATTCCATACTTTATATCAACAATACATGTTTGTAGCTTTGTTTGGAATAAACATCACATCACGCACGATATTACCCATGCAAGTGTTTAAGATAATCTTATCTGAGAGATGAAAGTTCCATGCCATCAATCATCTCGTGTATCACTTGTTTTTCAATGCGTTAATTGTTATTTCTAGTAGAGATATAGGTTTTGAAGTATGTAACTCTTCTTATCTTCACTTCTTTACCTTCCCTTTTCTGGACAGCCTAACGGTCATGATCATGGTTCAGAAGCTACCCAGCAACTGATGCTTTCTACTGCAAAAGATCACATCCAGGTAACTGATTGCTGTTAGATATCATACGCAAGACGGAAATCATATTTCTGTGATCAAGGCTTAAGAATGTGCAAACCCAAAGTTTTGCTCTCTAATTCGCTTCACAACTGGCCCCATGCTTTCTCCTTTCGTACCAAATTTTGTTTTTTCATGAGTTGAAATGCGAAAGTGGTATGGAGATCTTGGAACACTAAGTTGTAGAAAGTCCTTTTATAATATAATTCTTTTACTTCCATCATGGATTAGATTGGGATGGCTGCAAATTTGAAGGATTATGTGCTAAGTAATCATGAAGGGAAGGAGGTATGTAAATAGACGCACTTTATTATTTAACTATTCATGCACAAAGGACTTTGTCTCCCGTTTTATGATGTATTCCTCTCTTTTTGTAGGTGAAGGGATCAGAGGTTTTAATGCATGATGGTACACCTGTTGCATATGCTTCACAACCTACAGAAACTGTACACAGCTTCAGTCATACTAATTAATTGCATCATTTAAAATGAATCAAGCACCAATAAATGTGTGAAGCTCATACCAGCATTTCCCTGTGGTTTCAGATTAACTACGTCTCTGCTCATGACAATGAAACCCTCTTTGACATTATCAGTTTGAAGGTAATATAGAAATATGCTTTCTGAATTTTTATGGAGACATCCACATTCCTACTTAAGGGTATGCATAGACTTATTTCTCCTTTTTCCACTGTTTTCTTGCAGACTCCGATGGATATATCTGTGGATGAAAGGTGTCGAATAAATCATTTGGCCTCAAGTATGATTGCCCTCTCGCAGGTTCTCTACTATCTCCCAACTTGACTCAGAAATGGGTCACTTGCAGACTAGGGCTAGTTGGACATGATTCTTGAAGCTATTACACCGAGTAGGATTTCTTGTTCGGCTCATATCTTAAAAAAATTGAATTCAATATGTTGTATTCTGCAATGTGAAGGGTATACCATTCTTCCACGCTGGGGACGAGATTCTACGCTCGAAATCACTTGATCGTGATTCTTACAACTCCGGTGACTGGTTCAATAGGTTTGCCTTTTCTCTCTTGTAAAGAACATTTCTTCTGATGTTATATATTGCACCCTACTGATAGACATGAACGGCGACAAGTTTAGGCTAGACTTCAGCTACAGTTCCAACAACTGGGGTGTTGGGCTTCCTCCAAAAGGGAAAAATGAACACAGTTGGCCACTGTAAGTACCGACCGAATCGCCTTTACTAAATCTGATTATTAATAGAACCATACATCCATTGCATGTTTCTAGAACCAATCATCTGCTGCTATATATGTCTGTAGGATCAAACCGAGGTTACAAGATCCATCATTCAAGCCTCAGAGCAGTCACATAGTTGCCACCCTCCACAATTTCTTAGATCTGTTACGCATCAGATACTCTTCACCGCTCTTTCGTCTAGATTCAGCAAAGGCTATCCAGGTCAGGAGGACGACTACTGCTTAATAATTTTCTTCTCTTATAAACAAATTATTCGTCTAGTATCAATCCTTCTTTTGCAATGCCGCGAAAGACCAGAAGCTCATGCAGGTTCTAAGTAAATTGATCCGTGATTGTGTTACAGGCACAAAGTTTACAAATGCAAAAAAAGAAATCACAACTATGTGTAGACTGATATGACCTCTCTGTTTTTTTACAGGAGCGAGTGCGATTTCATAACACGGGCCCCTCATCATTCCCAGGCGCCATTGTCATGAGTATTGAAGATGGTCACAAAGGCAGCCCAAGTGTTCCTCAGATCGATCCTATGTAAGTGTAAAAAACAAAAAACAACATGATCCACAAATCTTTCAAAGCTTCATGCATATATATGTTACTATGTATAATCTATTGTTTGTTGACGGTGGTGTTACTCGTACAGCTACTCATTCATTGTGGTTATCTTCAATGCAAGCCCGTCTGAGTTCTCATTTCTCAGTCCCGTTTTAAAAGACAGGAATCTTGAATTACATCCGGTACAGGTAATTCGCGCACTACCAGATATTAAACAATATCATAAGCTTTCCGCATTTCAGTTTAATTGTGTATTAGAAAAGTGTAAGCACTAGTAGTGATGATTCAACTCCGAGTCACAGGTGATGTCTGGAGATGAAAGAGTCAAGAAATCAGTGTATGACGCGATTTCTGGCGGCTTTACTGTACCGGCAAGAACAACGACTGTGTTTATTGAGTCACGTAATGGTTGAACTTGATTGAATCTTATCTACTCACAGCAAAAAAAATAAAAACAATTCTCTCAATAGCAAAGTTTATCCTTAAAAAAATAATGCCTTGAGTTTCACTTTTGTGCAAATCATATAGATGGCGTCCGTTTTCTGCCATCTTTGCATATCTGGCCTTCATATTCCGATAGAGCAATTGGAATATTAAATTTGACCAAATCCGAGCCAACATGACTAAATTCAAATTTCATAAATGATCTGACGAAGGTGATTATCAAACCGAATAATCTTATCGAGGATATCATGGAGTATTTGAGAATGTTATTGGGTGTCATACTTATTCTTCACGATATTCGCCAATAATTCTACTTTATAAACAATGTCATATTCCATTTGTCTTTGATTCTACATCTTTGATTATAGATGCGATTTGAGCTTCCAAAACATCATGAACAAAAAAAAAAAAAAAAAAAAGAAGTCTCTATACAGGTAGGGTAATAATGTTGGAGTGTACTATGCAACAACTCGACGTGTTTCACGTTTAAGATAAGATATGTCCCACCTCTATAAATAAAGTGAATAAGATGTCTCCTCTCTAAACAGCACTTAATATAGTAATCATTATCGTTTTTTTTTTCTTTATCTGGAAACAGTGTGAGATATGGATTCAGGATTCGTCCACATCATTCCTTCCTCAAGGTTCTTCTCTCAAATTCATATCCACATCAAATGATTGTATATGGTTATTTGACATAGATGTATATATGCACGATTGTATATGTATTTTGTTGATGAAAGACATGCAGGTGTCATGGTAAGACTGAGAATGAAAAGAGTTACGGCGAATTCGATGAAGAGAGAGATAGTGAGTACACTTTTGTGAGTGCTTTAAGTATGAATGGAGGAGATGGAGACAACAGTTACTCCACCAATTCTCTTCTTCAGGTTTTTTTTTTTAACTATTTTTTTAATGAGACATGCATACGCACCCCTATACTTTATGTTAGTTAGTTGGTGCTAGCAAAGGCTAAGCCGTTTTTTTTTGTTTTTCAGAGAAGAGTGCTAGCAAAGGCTAAGCCGGTTTTGGTTAAGAACACAAAGGAACTGATGATAGACTTGAACTTTCCTAATTACATTAAAGTAGCTGATTTGGGTTGTTCTTCGGGACAAAACACGTTCTTGGCAATGTCTGAAATCATCAACATAATCAATGTGTTCTGTCAAAAGTGGAACCAGAACCCACCAGAAATAGATTGTTGTTTCAACGATCTCCCTAATAACGATTTCAACACGACGTTCAAATCCATACATTTATTCAAAGAGAAGAACCTCACAAGTTTTGAATCATACTTCGTTTCTGGAGTCCCCGGTTCTTTCTACTCGAGGCTCTTCCCTCGTAAGAGTCTCCATTTCGTACATTCCTCTTATGGTCTCCATTGGCTCTCTAAGGTATGATTAGTGTTGAGACTTCATTATAACATTCTATTTATAATTATGTAGTGATTCAATATTTTTCAAAAAAAAAATATTGCTATAATGTTATGGGAACTATTTTTGATTGTAAGGTTCCTAAAGGACTTGAAAAGAACAAGACGAGTGTGTACATCACAAATTCAAGTCCTATAAGTACATACAAGGCTTACTCAAATCAGTTCCAAAGAGATTTCACGACATTTCTTAAATTGCGTTCTGAAGAGATGATTTCAAATGGACGTATGGTTCTCACTTTCATCGGTAGAAACAATATGGATAATCCATTGCATAGAGATTGTTGTCACTTTTGGACATTACTATCAAAATCCCTTCGTGACCTAGTCATCGAGGTATAATTCAAAATCAATTTATGTTTGGTCGAATTGAATATGTTTCAAATATTTGATTTTGCCACGGTCTGTTTTTCTATAATTAATAGGGTCTTGTGAGTGCTTCGAAGGTGGATTCGTTCTACATGCCGTTTTATGATCCTAGTGAAAAAGAAGTAAAAGAAATCATAGGGAAAGAGGGTTCCTTTGAAATCAAAGATTTAGAGACACATGAATACGATATTGGCCATTGTAACCAAGACGAGGCAAAGAGGAGTAAATCAGGGCAAAATGAAGCCAATTATATTAGAGCGGTGTGTGAACCATTACTTGTGGCTCACTTTGGAGATGCCACTATCTACACATTGTTTAACAAGTTCGCATATCATGTGTCTCAACATGCTGATTGCAGAAACAAAACGACCGTTAGTCTAGTTCTTTCATTGACTCGGAAATAAGCTTTTCTCATCTAATAAAGTTTATTCTTAGCGATATGTAGGCTTATATCTTGTATATTATACTATTTTGTTTAAATTTGAAATTATATTAATCAACTATTATCTACAACAATAATTTGGGCTTACTAGGACAGCTTCTTTATGGAAAATGCAGAGAAAAACAGAGCAAGGCAGAGTAAACAACATTAATAATAAAAAGAAAGAAAAAAAAAAAACAGAGCGTGGCTACAGTGAGGCAGATCAAAAATCTGTGGCAAGGGGATTCAAAGGATCAGCTTATAGGATATATTATAATTTAGTTGCTTGAAATTATAATGCATATAGTGGCCAAGATCTATTGTTAAAATTTTGACAACAAAACAAATATATTGTAGAAAAGGTGAAAAAGCCAGCAAGTAGCAAATAAAAAGAAAAAAGAAGGAAAACATATGACAGCTATTTGTTGGTCCTATTCAGCATGGTAGTCCAATACGAAAATTCAAAAACCATAAAAAAAAAATTCATAAAAAAATCAATTTCTTATAAATTGATACGTACTAAATGATACAGTATCTGGCTGCATTACATTCTCACATTGGAGACATGTCATATAAATGGTTGGAGAGGATTGTGTTTTGTGACAAGTTGAGCGTGTTTCACATGGACGACATGCAGTAGCAGAGTCAGAATTATTTTTTATTAGGGGCATAAATAAATAAACAAAAGCATATATAATTTTATGATTGGGAGCATCAATGTATAATTTATTAAAATTTACTGGGGCATATGACCCCAACTTAATCAAAGTGGCTCCGCCACTGACGACATGTCACACTAGAGATTGGGGAGTTGCAACAACTAGGCGTGTTTCACATTGAAGACAGGTCCCATCTCTATAAATACAATGAATGAGGAGTAGCCTCCCTAAACAACATAATACTTTTTTTAACAAAGAATTTCTTGATATAGTTCGAGAAATGGATTCAAGATTCATCCATTCCATTCCTTCCTTGAGGTTCTTCTCACCAAATCATTTTCTCATCATATGATTGTACATATTGATTTGACATAGATGTATGTATATATTAATATATGTTTATACATGCTATGCAGGTGTAATGGTAAGAGTGAAAATGAAAAGTATAGTGACGATGAAGAGAGAAAGAGTGAGTACACTTTTGTGAGTGCTCTAAGTATGAATGGAGGAGATGGAGACAATAGTTACTCCACCAATTCTCTTCTTCAGGTTCTTTCATTCTCTATATTTTCTTTTATTTTTCTTTATGACATACTAACACATATTAATATTTATATATCACTCAAATTATTTAGAGTTCATAGTTTTGACGCTAAATTTATTTTATCTGTGTTGACATGTAAAACATGTACTTTACTTTTTCCCTAAAATATTACAAATTGTAATTTTAAAGTGCAAGCGTATTATTTTTCTCTGGTCTTCCGTTTATTTCTGCACGATTCTTAAAAAATATGTTTAAATTATCCAAAATTATGGTTTCATTTTAAAAATATATACTTACTGGTAAAAATGTATCCAATCGGAAACAATCAATCGAGTCTTTTTATTCCTAAAAATGTGACTTCATAAATGTGATCCTAACAATTTTACTTTTAGTAACAAGTTATTAATCATTTTGGCTCTGTATCTGTTTTTCAGAGAAGAGTTTTATCAATGACCAAACCCATCTTGGTTAAAAACACCAAGGAAATGTTGACAAACTTGGATTTTCCTAAATACATTAAAGTAGCCGATTTGGGATGTTCTTCGGGGCAAAACACATTCTTGGTAATGGCAGACATCGTTAACACAATCAATGCGTTATGTCAAGAATGTAACCAAAACCGACCAGAGATAGATTGTTGTCTTAATGATCTCCCGTGTAACGACTTCAACACAACTTTCAAGCTCATAACTTTCTTCAACCAGAAGCTAGCAAGCGAAGGATCGTGCTTCGTCTCTGGAGTCCCTGGTTCCTTTTACTCAAGTCTCTTCCCTCGCAAGAGTCTCCATTTCATTCATTCAAATTACAGTCTTCATTACCTCTCTAAGGTATTATAAGATTACTTTGTTACTACTTTCCACTAATAGAAAGAAAAAAAATCGTCATAAGTACAAAGCTTATAACAATGGAAATGTTGACTTATAAGGTTCCGGACGGATTGGAGAAGAACAAGATGAGTGTGTACATAACAAGTTCAAGTCCTCTAAGTGAATACGAGGCTTACTTGAATCAATTCCAAAGAGACTTTACGACATTTCTAAGAATGCGCTCTGAAGAGATGGTATCCAAAGGACGCATGGTTCTCACATTAATCGGAAGAAACACTATTGATGATCCATTGTATAGAGATTGCTGTCATTGGTCAACATTGCTATCCATTTCTCTCCGTGACCTAGTCTTCGAGGTAATTAAATATCCATATGTGTCGATATTCTTCATGCATGGTTTCACTTTCAAATATATTGATCTTTTTTCTGGTCAAAATAAAATAAATATTTGATCCTTTTGTAATCTATTTATATAGGGTATAGTGAGTGCAGCAAAGGTCAATTCGTTTAGCTTGCCGTTTTATGATCCGAACGAAGAAGAAGTGAAGGAGATTATTAGAAACGAGGGATCATTCCAAATAAACGACTTGGAGACACATGTATTTGATCTCGCTCATTGCAACGAAGATTGTAGCTTGCAAACACATAGAGCTAAACCAGGGGAAAAAGTAGCTAACTGCATAAGAGCACTGATTGAGACGATGCTTGTAGCTCACTTTGGAGATGCCTTTGATATCGATACATTGTTTGAAAGATATGCACATCATGTGTCTCAGCATACTAGCTGCAAGAACAAAACATCTGTCAGTCTAGTCGTCACATTGATTCGGAAATAACTTTCTTTATGTAACATGTACTAAGTTTAAGATAACAAATGAAAACGTCTTAAATAAAAAAATGACGTTTTGATATAATTTAAACGATCTATACACAGAGAAAGCGGTTATTGGATGAAAGATATGCACATCATGTGTCTCTTTTTGTGTGCTATTGATCAACTGTGGACCACATATTCTTTTGCTCTCACATGAGTGTTCGAACCGACAACTAGGCCATGATATCATAAAGGACACTGGCCACTGGGGCAATCATCCACAAGATCAATGCGTTTAACATTATTTATTTACATCTTTCCACGACACACTAGAAGAACTTTAAGAAGAAACGACTTAAAGCTATATATCCCAGTGTCTTTTTATATTCTGTTGATACGGATGAGAATTTCATTTAAACCCAGAGATATCACCAATGATTTCATCAAAGTTTTTGTTCTTCTTATTAATGATATTTCAATTTTTCCCACCTCTACGAGGTGCAGCTTCCTTTGACAACTTAAAGTGTAATAAATAATTCTCGTCTTTAATTTACTCTCTTGATCTTGAAAGTGCCAAGAATGGATTCAATATCCCTCCGCGCCAAGGCAATCCTTGCTCGCCAAGTTAATCATGAGTACTTTTCTTCTTTCACCAACTTCTGCAAAAGCTCTGTTTAACTCTTGTTTGGCTTTCTAATATCTTTGTGAAAGTAAGATTAGAGAATTATTTATTTTCTGAAATAAAATTTAATCATTAACAAGAAAAATCCTTCCTTGAGGTTCTTCTCTCCGATTCATCTTCGAAACACACACACACACACATATAATATATATATATATATATATGTTGATTTGATATGTATAGCTAATAGATATAATATGCAGGTGTGATTGTAAGAGTGATAATGAGAATTATAGTGACGATGAAGAGAGGAGTAGTAAATATCGTTTTGTGAGTGCTCTAAGTATGAGTGGAGGAAATGGAGACAACAGTTACTCCACAAATTCTCTTCTTCAGGTACTTTGATCTTTCATAAATTTGATTTCTTTTTGTTTGCTTTTAGATGTCAGATATCTTCTACTGTTTTATTTGCAAAGTGAAAACGTATAGGGGAACGCAAGAGAAAAGTTTTCTCTTTCATTTTTCTTTTGCGTTTACAATTAATAAAATAATTTTGTTTAAGAAATTAATACTACAAGTTATGGATTAAAAATGATATATTACACAGAACAATAATTGCAAACAAAAAACAATCAACACACAAAATTAGTTAATTCTCCCAAGTGTGAACACATTAATGTAATTTCCAAAATCTTTACTAACTACCAGTTTCTTGAATTTTTTTTTTTTTTTTTTTTTGCATCTTTTTCAGAAAAGAGTCTTATCAAAGATCAAAACAGTCTTGGTTGAAAACACCAAAGAAATGATGACAAATTTGGACTTTCCTAAATGCATTAAAATAGCCGATTTAGGATGTTCGTCGGGACCAAACACATTCTTGGCGATATCTCAGATCGTCAACACAATCAATGTGTTTTGCAAAGAATGCAATCAAAACCAGCCGGAGATAGATTGTTGTCTGAACGATCTGCCTAGTAACGATTTCAACACAACTTTCCAGTTTCTTACTTCCTTCAACAAGAAACTCACACAAGAAGGATCTTGCTTCGTCTCTGGAATCCCTGGTTCTTTTTACTCGAGGCTCTTCCCTCGCAAGAGTCTCCATTTCGTACATTCAAATTACAGTATTCATTTTCTCTCTAAGGTCTTTAATTTATATATAACTCTCAACGTATAGACATTTAAAATTCCTTATATGTACAAAGCTTATAACAATTGAATTGTTGACTTATAAGGTTCCGGACGGATTGGAGAAGAACAAGATGAGTGTGTACATAACAAGTTCAAGTCCTCTAAGTGAATACAAGGCTTACTTGAATCAATTTCAAAGAGACTTTACGACATTTCTAAGAATGCGCTCTGAAGAGATGGTATCTAATGGACGCATGGTCCTGACATTAATCGGAAGAAACACCACTGATGATCCGTTGTATAGGGATTGCTGTCACTTTTGGACATTGTTATCCAAATCTCTCTGTGACCTAGTCTTCGAGGTAGTGAAATTATTAAAAATTCATACTATTTTTTTTTTATTTTTCAAAAAATAAATATGTTCATGGATATTTTCAAATATTTGATCCATTTATATAGGGCCTAGTGAGTGCATCCAAGGTAAATACGTTCAAAATGCCTTTTTATGATCCGACCAAAGAAGAAGTGACAGATTTGATAAGAAAAGAGGGATCCTTCCAAATAAACGACTTGGAGACACATGGATTTGATCTCGGTCATAGTATCGAAGACTGTAGCTTACAACCACACAGAGTCAAATCAGGGCAAAAAGAAGCTAGTTGTATAAGAGCTGTGACTGAAACGATGCTCGTAGCTCATTTCGGAGATGCCATTAATATTGATACATTGTTTAACAAGTATGCGTTTCATGTGTCTCAGCATGCAACATGTACGGTCAAAACGACTGTCACTCTAGTCGTTTCATTGATTCGGAGTTAACTTTCGTTATGGATTAAGGATTAACTGGTGTGTGACATGCAACGTCAAATTTTCCTTAAACCACTGAATTGTGATTTATGTCAGATATTGTTGTTTGATTATGTTAACGTGGATTTGCACATGCATTATGTAAAAAATAGTTACTTATTCGGCATTGAAAAAAATAGATTAGCACAATCATAGGAACTCTCTAATACAAGAACTATATATATATTATATATCTACGTAGGTCATTAGTACGTCTCAATTGGCATCTTATTGATCATGCTCCCAATTTGTGTCCGCATTTGCCAAAACATAAGTCTTGAGCCAAAACTTAACTAGATTAATCTATGAGACATATGAATGAGTCGAGTATTCTTTTCATTTAGGCATCTATATTTGCCAATCATGATTGAAGTATTTTTTGCTTCTAAAAATGACTTAAAATTATTCACTCAGATATTAATAAAAATTGAACTCAGCAAAAAGTATTGTAACTGCACCAACCAAACCGAACTTGAAATAGAGTTTATGAATTCGATTACTAAATTTATAATTAATTAAAAAAAACCAAAGCCGAATTAGAGACTGTTATAGGAGAGAGTGGTATACTAAAATCAATTGTGTGTGGTCGTATTAAAGGAACGTGCGACCATGAAACAGACACGCGATTAAGAAGAAGAGTCTCACAGACACACTTGATGATGGTCTCTCTAAAAAAGCTTAGAGAAACGACTTGTGCTCCTTAACTATCCCACTACCCTTTCTCGCTCTATTTGTCAAACAGCTTAATTGGGGTTTTTTGCATCTACCTATTAACCATATATATTCTAAATGAAATTATTCGATCTTTAATTCCAAAATGATGTAAATAACAGATTTTGCATGGAAAATTCAGATGTCCAAAAAAAAAACAATATACAGAGGACAATTGTCGAGTATCGTATAATTTAATGCAATATAATATTTAAAAAAATAAGAGAATAACTCTTGAAGATACGATGAGTTGCACTTGCTGATTGCTTGTTACTTGGTAATATTCTTGACGTGGAGTGGGTGCTCTTCACATCATGCATCCATTAACCGAATCCGTATATACTTTCGATCTGCACATACACCCGCCTACATGTGTTTATTAATTTATAAAATTGAATTCTGTATTTATCTCTTTGTGTTAATATATTTTACTAGCTTATCTTTTCTCTTTCTGTTTGTCTTTTTTTCTTTTCTAACAATATATTACATGGTCTTGAAATTTCGAATTGAGATTCTTCTTAACAAACTTATATCACTAGCTAGAACATTAAAAAAAAAAAAATCATTTTAATTATATACTTTGCCACTACTGATTATATTATTGTCTCCAAGTCTTGCTTGAAGTCTTATCGCACCCTTACGACAAACTAGTTGGAGTTGAGTTTCTTAGAGTCAATTTTAGACAATTGTAGACAACTAAAGTAATATGTTTTTTTCATTATATACACACTAACGTATAGATGTGTAGCTAGAAATATGGTAAACAAATGAAAATATATATAAAAAAAAAATTGGATTGAAATAATGAAAGATGGAGTGGAGTAATGGTAGAGAGAGATGAAGGGAGAGCCGTAGATTCCGTGAGAGACAGGCTTGCATTGCTCTTATCATTACTCCATCCTTCTTTCACCCAAACCTATCTCTTAACCTCTACTTCCGTTTTTTTTTCCATTTTTTATACATATATTTCTCAAAATTTAAACATCACTCGACAGTCCACACAAATGAAATCATCCATAATTAACAAAATTTGACCCCAAAAATAAAAATTGCAGCAATGTATAGTAGAATAAAAGAAGATTAATTTGCAGTTACGAATGATTTAGTTCTTTTTAGTACAAGATAACACATTTTCGAATATGTTAAGATTTAAATATCTACTACAGTATATATTATATAAGTATAAAATTTTAAATAATTATGCAATATATAATATATATATATAATACTTGTTAAGACTAATATTTTCAAAATAACAGTGAATTTTATTATTTTAAATTTTAAATTAATCAATATACAATTCATTAGACCTGAGGTAATGTTGAAATCATTGAATCATATATATTATTGTAATATTCTATCTGTAAATGTCTATTTTGAAGTGATATATGCCTAAAATTTGTTAAATTTCACTCATGTGAAAAGTAAAAAACTAATTTGAACAAAAACAACTAACGAAACAATTTTATGTATGATCACACCCCGAAATAAATCGTTATACAGAGTGAAAAACGGATTATGAAGTGGAACAAACATATATTACTTTAGAAATTGTCTAAAATTGTACATTTTTTGTTGCAAAATGGTTATACACACACTTTCTCTCTCTCTATCTCATTGTATTGTGATCAGTTTGCCAAGTTGGGAAAATGGTAGAAGAGAGACAATAACAGAAGTACTAAAATTTAAGAGGCTACAAAAGGACAAGTCCAAACATATTCACACACTTAAAAAGCTTTTCTCATATATTTTTGTTCTATATGTGTGGTGTCTCTCTTTGACTCCTCTCTTCCCTAAATCACTCACTATTTATGTATCCATCTCTCCACACATCTCTCTCCATCTCACACACATCTTTCTCTTAACACATTACTATATATGCATCTCTCATCCTTAACTTCTTCATGATCAACAACACAAATACACTTCTCCTTTCTTGATCATTATCTTTGATCTTGAATACTGGGCTAATGGAAGCGTTCGAAGAGGCAATAGCGGCCTCAAAGGAGCAATCTTTGATCCTTAAAGGAAAGCGGACGAAGCGACAACGTCCACAATCTCCTATTCCTTTCTCTATCTCCCCTGCTATAGTTTCTTCCCCGGCAGGCGAAGAGTCCACTGATCTTGATTCCAAGGACAATGCTTTAGGAATTAATGTCGAAAACCGTAAAAAGGATGGTGTGATCACGTCTTCATCTTCATCAGCCTCTTGGTCCTCCAACAACAACCAAACATTAAAGACAGTAGAAGACGAGGAAGATCAAGACATAGCCAATTGTTTGATGCTCCTTGCTCAAGGACATTCTCTTCCCAACCACAACCAACAGCTTAAGATACCTTACCACGAAACAAACAACAACAACAATAACGCGTATAGATTTAGCAGCAGGAGGTTTTTAGAGACTTCTTCATCTAACGGTGGTGGTAAAGCCGGTTACTACGTTTATCAGTGCAAAACATGTGACCGGACCTTTCCTTCTTTTCAGGCTTTAGGCGGCCATAGAGCTAGCCACAAGAAACCTAAAGCCACATCCTTTTACTCCAACCTTGACCTTAAGAAGAACATATATGAAAACGACGCCGTTTCATTGGCCACAACGACAACTATTTACAATAACACCAAGAACAATAGCAATAGATCGCTTGTCGTGTACGGTAAGGCAGGTAACAATAAGGTTCATGAATGTGGAATCTGTGGAGCCGAGTTTACGTCTGGACAAGCTTTAGGTGGCCACATGAGACGGCATAGAGGCGCGGTGGTTGTCGCGGCGGCCGCCCCTCCCACCGTTACAGTGGCCACGGCTGCGGCCAACACGGAGCTATCACTGTCTTCGATGTCGTTCGATCAAATATCGGACGGCCAAGATCATCTAGTGATGCCAGCGACAAAGAGAGCTAAGAAGACGGTCGTGTCGTTGGATTTGGATCTGAATCTACCCGCACCGGAAGATGAGAATCGGGTCAACGGATTCAACTTTGTTGTGAAGGAAAAACAGGAACAAGAACATCAACAAAACAAGCAAAGAGAAGAACCAGAGTCTCTTGTCTTGTCTGCTCCTACATTGGTGGATTGCCATTACTGATTTGTTATTACATCATAATCTTTTTATAAAAAAAAATCATTTTTTCTATATCAAACAATTTTTTTTTGTGTGTAAACGATTCTTTGCTTGTTAAAGACTTGCAATATTCTTTTTTTTTTTGTTTTTGCCTGGTCCTTTTCAGAGGAATACTAAAATATAATCAATTTGTTAGTTTCGATTTGTTACAAAAGAAAATTTTATAAAAATTGATGTCACGCTCTTTTATACTTTTGATCAAACATTTATTTTCTTTTTTCTTTTCCTTCCAACGAAAAACTAAAGCTCATGAAAAGGGCGTGACGAGGATCGAGTCTTATTGTGTAGTTCTTTTTTTTTTTTGCAGTTGAAAGAACAGTTCTCTTATCTGTTAACAACAAAGTTTTAAATTGTTTAAAAATAAAATAATCGACAGTGAGACTTTTCCAATCAAATATAGTGTTTTTTTTTCAATCGGAAACAAACATTTCTTTTTGTTCTTTTATTGCCTTTCCGATAATGTTGTCGATATATGGATATACATATACTCTAATATCTATTCACATACTGTTTTGTTGCAATGAATGCTTTTCCTAGATTCCAGGATCTCCATCGAAAGACAAATTTATTATTCTCTTAAACTTTAAAATATCCAATTTTCCTTAGAAAAATACTATATGATTTACTTAATTATTACTGGTATCATCTTTCATATAAAAAAATATTCAAACCAGCTGGAAAGGATAATTACTTCAAACCTGAATCTGGCTATTTTTCTCACTTCGCCATCGTCAAGACCGTATTTGCTTTCCGTGATCAAAAGTGATTGCTGTTTGGTATTCTCAGTGAAGACTGCATGCTGTTTAGCTCCCGTTTTTCTACTAATCAATTCGAAATGGCATTATAACCAAAGATGCCAGAACGATTTGGGCCTCAGCTTATGATCTGGCCCAAAATAGATTGATTTGACCTAAGGTTGCTAAAATGGGTAACGCGTTTACTTGGCCATTTTAGTGATGCGTTGAATCATTTTATGATTGTTTTTGTTCCTATGAGCCATAGATGGATTGGGAACGATGACGTGAATCTCTATTGTAAAGTTGGTAAAAATATTAGGAATTCTAGGACATAATTTTCTTTGTTTTTTTATATGAAAATATCGTCAAATAATAACATATTTCCTTTTTATTCCTGACAACTGCTCTTGAATCTGAGCAATGTCCAATAATATCCCATGAGAAGAGCTTCTTTTGAGTCTTTTGTAAGGCAAAGTCAAACAATGCTTGGTGACCGGGGAGGGAATTGCTTGACGGTGACAATGGAGGGTACTTCTGTCATTTTCTTGAATCTGGCTGCGTGCGTCACGACGCTATGAGACTTTCGTTTCACGTAATTGCGATCTTTAAAAAAAAGCAATACGGATAAAGTCTGTTACTGTACAAAAACGAATAAATGTAATTTTGCTTATAAAAAAATTCTTTCCGGCCATGTTCGTTTATAGACGTCATTGTCAAATTATTGTTAACCTTCTCAATTTTTTTTTTCTTCTTATTATTATCTAAAAGTTTTGACCTTAAACTCACATACGCCAATCGAAGTAGGCAATGTGGTTTTTAAATCGTTTATTGTCTTTTAAGTTTAGGAGACTAATGGCATAGCCATTTCATAAATAATTTCGTTTGATCTCATCTCTGTGATTCTTTTTCCTCCTCTTTTATAGTCCTATATAATCATTAATTCACGAATCTTTATGTACAAATCTTTACAAAATCATTTGTTTTTTTCTTTAGTTCTAAGTGATTTATTCCTTTCCCTCCTTTTTCATCACAAAATCTTTAAAAGGTTAGAAATTCATATCTTTTATATGATATGTACATTAAGATTTTATATATTGTAGTTTTGATATAATATTGAATAATAAACTTTTAATGTGTTGTCTAATTTTTGTTTTAAAAAAAAAATAGTCATGTCTGTAGTCCAAGTGAAAACCTTATAACTAATTAATAACACAAACTAATAACTAAAAATGAAACTATAAAATAATTTCATAAATACAATTTGTCAGCAATATATATACATACATCAGATTATATATCTTACTGCTGTAAAAAAAGTTTTAAATATACTATATACTTTCTTCATTTTACATGTAAAATATGGTAATCTTATGATCAGTTCAAGGCTTTTGTATTGTAAATTGGTTGTTGGTACTATATAAAAGGTTTTGTATTAAGCGAGAGATATTATGCCAAGAAAATAAATAGATTGAAAAAACAGATTTGCGTCTCCCAACGACCTTTAACACGTTGGAATCTTCTAGAGTCACAAATATGGCAAGGGTGTTGACGTGTCACCTAACTAGATGCTGTCACTAATCAAATATCACCGTACCGTCACTGTAAACTTCTCTCCAACCTCACCGTCGTGGAAGATTTTAAAACCTTGGCTGCGTAATTTCTTCTTTTTTCTCTCTTTCCACGGTTGCTTAATTCCAATGGCATCGTGATCGTCTTTCTCTCTCTCCTCCGTCTTTTCAGTTTTCCCAATTCTTCTTAAAACCCTAATTTCTTAAATCTAATTTGTCTGTTATTTTTATCTCGAATCGGCAAATTCCGCTCGCCCAAAAAACTTCTTCAAGCTCGAGTTTGCGTTCTGGTTCATCGATTGATGGGTCGCGGCTCAGTGACGTCGCTCGCTCCTGGGTTCCGTTTCCACCCTACGGATGAGGAACTCGTTCGCTACTATCTGAAGCGTAAGGTCTGCAATAGACCCTTCAAGTTCGATGCTATTTCCGTCACCGATATTTATAAATCCGAGCCGTGGGATCTACCAGGTTACTTTTCCAATCTCCCTTCTTTTTGTTTTTCCCTTTAATCTCGGTGGCTAGATCGAATTCCGTAGCTCGATTGTGACCTAGAATTCAGCTTGATTCGATTGATTTTGTCTTTGTTATGGGTTTGGATATTAGATAAGTCGAAGCTGAAAAGTAGAGACTTGGAGTGGTACTTCTTTAGTATGCTGGATAAGAAATACAGTAATGGTTCGAAGACGAATCGGGCGACGGAGAAAGGCTACTGGAAGACGACGGGGAAGGATCGGGAAATTCGTAATGGTGTAAGGGTCGTTGGGATGAAGAAGACGCTTGTCTATCACAAGGGTCGAGCTCCTCGTGGTGAAAGGACCAACTGGGTTATGCACGAGTATCGGCTTTCTGATGAGGAACTGAAGAAAGCTGGCGTGTCACAGGTTAGATCAATTTGGTTTCTTCTGCTTACTCTGAAAAGTTAATTTTTTTTTATGGTAATGGATTGAGTTATTGACTTTGTTGCGTCGTTGTGGGGGTTGGTGGAGAAGGATGCATTTGTGCTATGTAGGATATTCCAGAAAAGCGGCACGGGGCCTAAGAATGGGGAGCAGTACGGTGCTCCATTTCTTGAGGAGGAGTGGGAAGAGGATAAAATGACATTTGTACCAGATCAAGATGCTTTCAGTGAAGGATTGGCTGTTGATGATGATGTTTATGTTGATATTGACGACATTGCCGAGGTTTGTGTTAGAAGTAGTAGCTCCTACCTTTTTATTTAACTATTCCCGAAATTGTTTCTCTTTATGTTAAATGTTTAGTGTAAGAGTGTTCATTGATGCGGCTAGAAAAATGGTGTGGATATCGCAAATGCTTAAGAATGATAAGTGTTGTGGTTACATATATCGAACTGTATACATGTTTAGATTATATATTAGGGATGTAAGTTAGTTAGCTTAGGTTTCTGCATATTGATGATGATAAGTGATAATATACATTTCTACATGATTAATGTTGGGATTTCATTCATGGCATTTCTTTTGTGTGAGCCGTGAGCGTCTGAATCCGAATTTCTTTTTGCAGAATCCTGAAAATCTGGTGGTCTATGATGCCATTCCTGTTCCACCTAATTACTGTCATGGAGAAACAAGCAATAATGTTGAATCAGAAAACTACTCAGACTCTGGAAATTACATTCAACCAGGAAACTATGCTGTTGACTCTGGTGGCTACTTTGAACAACCAATTGAAAATTTTGAGGAGGATCAGAAGCCTATCATTCGGGATGGTAGCATTCAGCCTTGTTCTCTGTTTCCGGATGAACAAATTGATTGTGGTGTGCAAGATGAGAACGCGGTGAAGCTGGAAACTTCCAACAGTAATGTCTTTGTGGCTGATACTTGCTACAGTGACATTCCTATTGATACCAACTATCTGCCTGACGAGCCATTCATTGATCCTAACAACAATCTTCCACTCAGTGATGGTCTATACCTGGAAACGAATGATCTCAGCAGTGGTTTACAAGATGGTTTTAACTTTGAAGATTATCTCAACTTCTTTGACGATGAGGATACTCAGAATTTGACTCTTGATGTTTCTCAATTGATGGGATCTGAAGATGCTCTTCCTGACCAAGAAGGACTCGACCAGAATGTAAGAGTCTTTCTTGCGACTTGCTTAGTTTTTCTATATGTGAAGTCCTTTCTAACTTACCTTTACACCAACAGCCTTCCCCTGAAGAAGTGGAGAAGGAGGTCGCAGAAGGCAAAGAGGCGGTGGAGAAAACGGAAAATGGCGAAGGATCTTCCTCAAAACAAGAGGCAGATGTCACGGATTTCGAATCAGGTAGCACTCAGATGATCATATATTCCTCGTCAAACAAACCATTTGATGACCGTTTCTGACTCTTTTGAAACTTAATCCTGCAGCTTCAAAGTACCCTTTCCTCAAAAAGGCGAGCCACATGTTTGGGGCCATTCCTGCTCCACCTTCATTTGCTTCCCAGTTCCAATCAAAGGATGCTGCAATCCGGCTACACTCAGCACAATCTTCAGGTTCAGTTCACGTTACTGCAGGTATGATCAGAATATCAAACATGACTCTAGCAGCTGATAGCGGTATGGGCTGGTCGTATGACAAGAACGGTAACCTCAACGTAGTCCTTTCTTTCGGCTTGGTCCAACGGGATGATGAGATGGGTTCCTCTGGAAGCAAGACTGGAGGAACTACAGCGACAAGAGCTATGTTGATCTTTATGTGTTTATGGGTTCTCTTACTCTCCGTTAGCTTCAAAATAGGAACCATGGTCTCTGCTCGGTGAAAGCATCAATAGTTGAATCATCTCAAGATAAGCTCTTTCAGTGTTTGTACCTCTCCAATGATATAGGCTTTACTTTGGCAGTGCTTTGCTGCCCAATATATTATTTTTTCTTTCGAGGGTTTTTGTGTAGTTGGAATTCTCTTTACAATTTCTAGTTTGTGCTTCTAGAAATAAGAACAACTTTTTTTTCTTCTTTTTTTTTTTACGACTGTTATCATTTGATCCTTGCTCTTTGTTTGTTGGAAACATTGGTTTTAAACGTTTCAAACTGAAATGATATATTTACCAGCAAAAAGAAAAATTTGTAATTTCTCCAATATATAAGGGGAAAGAAAAAAAGCATTCATAACAAACAAATTGATTCTGAATCTCGCATACTTTGTAAGAACGAACTTATATATATCCCATACTCTCACATCAAAAATAGTATTATAAACCAATGTCTGATTCTCTCTCGAACGCTGAGCTTTCTTCAGATGTATGTATTTGAGTAACCAAACTGATTTGGGATTTACCTTGCAATCCAACCCCACACACCACCAGAGCCTTGCCTTTGCACGGTCCCATCTGCTCCTTCATCAGACGCTGACTTCTGTCGTCTAAGCATCTCAACTTCAGCTTCAATGGATTGTCCTGACTCCAGTGCTTTCTGCAGTTCTGCTATTTGTGCCTGAGACACGCCAGTAGATAGAATCGCAATTGAGTTGGAAATTTTGTAAAAGAGAGACAAAATGCGAAAACTTTAGCAGACTGTGAAGGTAGAAGGAGGCCTATATACCTCAAGTTTAAAGCATCTTGACCGTTCTGAAATAAGTTGGCCTTGTACAGATTGGAGTTCCTGCGATAATGTGAATAGATTGTGAACCGCGTTCATCTAACACGAAAAGGGATAACAATTCACTTAAGAGTGTTAGAGGTACGAACTTGGGATAGCTCAGTGTGGCTGCTATTAACTTCATCTATCCTTTCCTTGAGCTTCGAGTTTTCTACTTGGGTTTCTGCAACAGATGACTCCAATGTTCTTTTTTCTTCTTTAATGGCATCGATTTTGTTTCTAATCTCTCTCTCAGAGAAGGTGTTTCCTATTCCGTTAAGAGTTGGATTTGCAGGTGGAGGAAAATCTGACTTATCTGACTTGGCTATGGCATAAGCAGCAGTGACAGAGGCCGCAGCTGCAGCAGCTGCTGGTGACTTAAAGATTTTGGGATGTGAGGATTCTCCTGGTTTTAGTCTCATAACGAATATCTGTGTGAAAAAGAAGACATGAGCCGACTATAATGGATAAGACATATCAACAAGGCAAGACTTGTATAAGCTGCAATCTATTGCTACGGGCTTACATCATTGTTATACTTCCCGTTATAGCCGCCAAAAGCTACTAAGATGTTCTCTCCAAATACTAATGCTGAGCACACACTAAGACCCTGCAGTTGAATCACAAAGCAATACATAAGAAAACTCGGATAGGAAAGAAAATGAAACATCTAACTTCGGATTAATTTTAAAAGTATCGACCTCACTAGCAAGTGGATGCCTTGCTCCTACATGGGTTGATGTAGACCAAACCAGCTTCGACATATTTAGAACAAGGGTCTCTAAACATCCTGCACAGGAAAGAAAAGAGTTACAGAGGAGAGGTGCATGCAAAGTGTTGACTGCAAAATGTAATTCCGCAGAATGCATTTACCAGTACTGTTATCACCGCCCCCAACTATATACCAGTTTTCGTCAATGGTTATTCCAGCGTGTCCTGCCCGAGGTGTTACAACATCTCCCTGAACATGAGGCTGTGACCACTCCATCTGCCATGAGTGAAACTCATCAGAATATGATGAAAATGGCAAAGAAAATTCAAGAAATATGTGCTTACAGTTTGCAAGTCAAGGATATGAAGATCATTAAAGAAGATCGAATGAGAACAACCCCCAAAAATCAAGAGGTAACGATCGGAATGTGTAGCAGTTGTGTGATCAAATCTGGGAGCTGGGCGTGTCTGCCTATCAAACGGAAAATAATTCAGATGTAAGGCCAGCCAGAAAAAACTGCAGTTAACATAAGCATGGATCTAGTTGGCTGCACTTTTGCATAAACTTACGTTGTCTCTACCACATCCCAAGTCATTGTCTCGAGATCAAGAACATGCAGATCATTCAGCAGTCTCCTTTTCTTATCCTCCCCACCAAAAACAATAACTCGGGAACCTACCAGTGTAATGGAATGTCCACCACGTGAAACCTATAAATCATGGAATACCACGACATCAAGAACATGCAGATCATTTATAGCTAGCCGAAACATAAAATGTGTAAGGAGCAATTCAGATAACTGTTTTCCTACCGGAACATTCCCCGAGGCATCAATGAATCCACACAGATGTGTTTCTAAATCAATGAACCGCACTGTAAGGAAGAATTAACACACTCTATAAGCATCTGAAAGAGCATCCACATTATTCTTTATTTTTTCTCTTGCATCTCACAGAAGATCAAAAGGTAAGCTGGATATGGCTTACCTGACATGTTATCTGATGACTTCTTGGAGTGTCCCCCAATCAGAAGAAGCTTGTTTCCCCACTTAATCTGCCAAAATGATCTCATTTAACATATAAAGTATGATTGCAAAATGCATCTTCATGTAAAGAACTTACCATGCGGTGGTCTGAAATAGCAGGAAAAGCTTCCCGTAAGCTGTCATCATCCTCTTCGATGTTCCCAGCACTTGATGATTCAGTTTTCAGTTTCAAACTAGACCAAGTCAAACTTCTCAGATCAAACACCTGATGAGTTTGAGTTTTTTCAAATCAACGCAGATTCATGGAAAAAAAAAGGACACAAAAAGAGACAGGAAACACCAAAACTACCTGGACATCCGCTAAATAACGGCCATTACGGCTTCCACCGACAATGTACAGTTTCTCATCAACAACCACTGCCGCATGCTGCATTTTCCAGACAACAGATGAAAAAGATTCAAGGTATTTGAATATCAAAGAACTTGCACGAAGATAATATTAATCGATCACCTTGTACCGAGCTGATGCTCTCGAGCCAGGAACAGGGAGTGGTGTCCATTCATCGTAAGCGAGATTTGAATGCCAATCACCAATGTCTATTTCTTTCCTGATCTCCTCCATTACCAGAAGCAGCGATCTAAGGACTATGTCACAGCTTCAGTCTGCCATTTTTTAGAACAAGTTATAAGCTGAGTTTCGATCTCATCTGATTTAACAATTGGACACCGAAACACAAAACTCTATAATCAAAATAGATACGACTTCCAGAAATATAGAATTAGCGTCTCACGATCCTTCATTTCCAGATATAGGGACATTGCAATCACAAAGAGATCTGAACACCAAATTCGACATTGCTATCAAGAAGACCAATTAAGAGAACGGATAACTAAAGGGAAGGTGAAAGACGAACGTAAAGACAGCAATCGAAATGGCGGCGATTGCCTGAGCCGCCGGAGAAAGCGAATGGTATCGGAGCCGGAGAGGGACCGTGCTGAGAAGGATTGTGGGAAGTTGAGATCGAATCTCCAGGTGTATTAAAAGTTTATGGGCACTTCGATAATAATTAAAAGTCCCCGGTACTACTTGGGTAAATATAAAAAATATAGAGAGCTCATTTTGAAGAGCTTGATTAAGTTCTCAATTTTTGTGATTACGAGATAAGTATTAAGTCCGCAATTTTTTGTCAATAGTTCTAACTTCTAAAATCCAAATTTCCAAAATATAGATGATGTAGTTTATCGTAATACTTCACTACAAAGAAGAATTTGATGAGTTACAAGTTTACAACTGTAAATAGTTGGCAAAAGAAATGAGCAGATACAAAAATCTATGAAAGAAACAAATGCAATGTAATAGTTGGTTATTGTAAATTGTTACAACAAAAAGAACTCAAGGGAAACAAAAATTCACCAAATTTGCAATAAAGTTATTAAAAACAAAAAACAAAGAGATGAAAATAAGTACTTCTAACTCCAAATCTGCTTCTCTCACAGAGAAAAACACATTTTATAATGTCAAGGCATTAAAAAGGAAACGAAAGAAGATATAAAAGCTCCTAGAGAGAAATCTCTGCCTCACTCAAAGATGATTTATGATCCCCGTCTGAAAGCTTAAGCCTCTCGACAAATGAAGTAAACAGACCAAAGATTGGAACCGAGATGGATAACTTAATCGGTTTTTATTCAGTTGCTCTCTCTGAAGCTGAATCAACTTTCTGTTTTATCATGGTCTCAGCTTGTTGGATTGCTCTCTGTGACCCTGTGATACTCACTTTCCTGTCAATTTTGGACATTTAACAAGTTTAGACATGAGAGGTATTTAACACATTGTTCGGTTATAACTCTACAAATAAAGTTTAACTTTACCTATCAGTGGTTCCAGACATGAAATCGCCACGGTCTGATATTTTTATTCGGGCACCGGTCATCTGCGGGAAGTAAAGTGGGCTCTAAGCTTTTGGTGACTGAAAGAGTTTTTAATTAAGGGTTGGAAAATATGGTACGGACCTGAGTGATTTCCATGATGTTTCTTCCTCCACGGCCGAGGACCAATCCTATATGCTCATCCGAGACACCAATTGTCTTTGTGGTACTAGCTTCTTCCTGGAATATATACCAAAACACCGAGTGAGATTTTTTCATGTTTTATAAATGGTGGAAGATATGAATTAATACACCACACTACCCATAGCAGTAACACGGATAGAAAATTCATTCAAATATAAGCATAAATAGGGTGGAAGATGGTGCGAATTACTAACCTTGTGGTTTTGATACTTGCCTCCAGAACCGTTGGGTGCGTAGTTAACTGAATTGTATCCCGCTGTTGCAACAGAAGGAAGTACATACGCATATGGATGACCATGAAAACCAGAGTAGAAAAGACCTAGAATGCCGAGTTAAAAGTAACTTACAAGAGAATTAAGCTTAAACAACAGACACGCATCATACATAATCCTCAAAATAGAAAGAAAATCTATGTGAAAATGAAAGGTACTAAACGCCATTACTACCCTAGTTGACATCTGACAATCTAAAATTCAGTAGAAAATCCTACTTCTAAGCAAACGCACTTAGATTATCTAAAGAAACTTCAAGGAGGAAAACAAACCTAACTAAGCTAGTCCTGAGTTGATATACCTGCATATGAATATGGGGAATGTACATTCTGGGAGTAATGATCGTCGGAGGTAAGCTTTGCCAAAATCAAATCAATTGCCCGCATCTGCTCCTCGAAGGTTCCAGATAATGTCACTAGCCTATCACTCAACCCATAGTAGGTATTATCCAGAGGGGATATCTTAATACCAGCTTTAGATTCCTCAATGAATGACCTGTGTCAAAAGAAAGAAATGGTCTTAACGATTGGTGACAGCAGTACTATTGAAGCCAATATTCTTAAAAAAAAAATGATTCCATATTCTAGAACTCTAGAGAAATTAGATATCCCAGACGTTACTTCAAAATGAGTCATCTCTAATACCCAGAAATCATAGGTCTTGACTTATGCATGCATTCATAGAAAATTATTGCTCTCTTAATATGAATCCAAGAAAATTTGAGCATGGATACATTCTAGATGTTAGTTGGTGGTATAGTGCTACAGGGAATTGTGTTAAGCGAAGCGGGCCATGGAAGCTCTGACAACCTCATAGAGTCTGCAACGGAAACTTACTTGATGGTGGCCCCTCCTTTTCCAATTATGCCTCCACAGGAACTGTTAGGAACCACAAGTCTTATTCTCCTCCTAGGCTCAACATCATTACCATCTTCAGCGTGAAGCTACCAACCAAATAGAAAAAGTCAGAATAGCTCTCACAATAACAGAATATATTAACATTAGTTAATCGCAGTTGTGACATGAAATACAAAATAGTCAAACACGACTCGAGAGAAACTACCTCACTGTGCAATTTATCAAGGATAAGTTCCAGTCCATTGACAACTTCTTTAATCGAGCCCGATATCATAATAATTCTATCAGTCGTCCCAGGGAAAAACTCTTGATTACGTGAGAGCTGGATCCGCGCCCCAGACTTTGCCTGAAATTCAGTGATGGTCGAGCCACCTTTCCCAATGACGGAACCAGCTGCCGCATTGGATACAAGAAACCGAATGTGTGTTGGCTTCTCAGCAGAGTCTGAAAAGAAAAGAAAAACACATTAGACAGTCAAAGAGACAGCATAGCATCCTCATCAGTTCAATGTGGTTCACTAAACCGCATCAGTCTTGAGCTAGACGCTGAATTGAAAGAAACCAAAACAAACAAACAAACAAAAATCGCTCCCAAAAGAACATACAAGCTCAATTACTCGAGCTGCCACACATCATACAAAAACACTACATGAGAATGAGCCTGAGCTAACTCACACTGTGAACGAAAATACAATATTTTTCTGCAATGACTGAACAAAGATTCCAGTGAACAGAGAGACACAAGGTAATTTAAGACCATCATTGGAAATGAATTTTATCGCACAGAAATTCTTCTCGCACGTTTTCATCGGCAAACGAAATCAATCACCCATATACGACGTAAAATCACAAAAGACTTAAAACGGGATCCGATTCACGAAAGTGACGAAATGCCAAACATTTAAATTAGAGTCGACAAAAATGCATTTTCTTTGTTCACCACAAGGACGGGAAAAGCAAAAGACCAGATCGGATCGGAAATACCAGCTTCCGAAGAATCGTGCGGTTCTGGGGATCTCTTCGTCAGCTCTTCAGGGGAAGCTGCCGCATAAGACTCGGTAGATTCCATTGCCGCTGCAGAAGAAAGAGACAGAGAAGAACCGAAATCAACCAATCGACATTACCAATACAACGAACAAAACAATAGAGAGAGAGAGAGGAGGAGATAATAATCGTTGGTCGAAATCTGAGATTGAGAAAATGGAAAAATTCCAATGTTTACCTGTCCTCGTACAATTCGAAACTCCTCCTTCCGTCGCCGTCACTTCGCGACTGTGATTCTGAATCTGAGAAAGGATTAGTCTCAATGAGCGTCTCTCGTCCCTCGCTGGATTCCTCGGCTTCTTCGTCTTTGTCGCCGAGCGGTTTGTGAAGTGAATGAAGGTGGCTCTGGTGTCTTTCGTCTATCTATCCACTAGGCTGCTCTTGCTTATTCTATTATTATTCATTTTTTCCTTTATTTTTAATCTTATAGACCGCCTCTCTATCTCTTTTTTTTTTAAATCATTTCAACTTCCATTAAACTTGCAAATCTACTGACAATTAAACATATTTAGAAAAAAGGTAACAAAAAAAACATATTTAGAAAAAAGGTAACAAAAAAAAACATATTTAGAAAAACACCAAAATATTTTCTAAAATATAAGGAACAAATGTGATACGTCTTTTTAATTAAAATTTCTCTATTTTTTACAATCAAATTTACATTGGTTTTTTTGCATCCTTTTATTTATTTTCATTTATAGTATGTTATGCGATTACAAAATAATATACTTTCGAATGGTACAACTCCCAAATTGTACATCAGAGTTGACGAAGACAATAGTAGATGATTAGATACCCTTATTATTGGAGAATCTTTTTTGTAAAATAGTTAGATAGTACCATTAATGGCAATGCATGTTTGTGATTTGAATCGGTCGACTAATGAAGTTACTCGGACAATAATGGGAAGTGGCAACCTGTGTTTCCCTCACGACTATAAAGATTCATTGGTTAAACATTCAATATATAACCATTTGTTTTCCTGTGGCATCATAAACTAACATTAACATTTAACATCTCGAGAAGGAACCACCGAATCTTATATACTTAAATATTTAAATTTTTCACTTGCTTTCTGTAGTATTTTACAAAGGTTGTGGTTTAAATAATAGATTGTTTTACAAGCTTAAATACTTAAATTTTTCATTTAAAAGTTTTTGGTCGTTTCATAATTGGGTAATGGCTTTGATTTTGTTAGATATTTCGTTAGATGCCATTTCAAAAATTTGAACAAGTAAATAACCTATTTCTTCTATATTTTTAAATGATTTTAGTGGAATATCTGAAAAACAAATTGGATTCCATGTGTGGTGGTACCCTGTAAAATCTGAATTTATAGTTTTCGATATTAGGGAAATAACTAGTTTCATAGTTTCGTTTGGGTACCCACTCTCTCTAGTTAATAATAAAACTTATCGTTGGCCCAGTGAAAACAAATTTCTTTTACACTCTCTCTAGATATTTATGTAACGGGCTCTTATTGGGCTTGCTTTCAATATTCGGCGTAGTTTAACACTGTAGTTAAACAACGTTAGCAGACTAACATGCGCCGTGGAAGCTGGTGGTGATGGTGGTGCCACCTCCCGATCTCCGTCGGCCCAGAATCTTATCATCTCTCTCTCTCTCTCTCTCTCTCTCTCTCTCTCTCTCTCTCTCTCCTTCGCTTCTGTGTTAAGCTGAGCCGTTAGCCGTTTAACATCTCTCATCCTAGAACGCCGTCGTTTTCAGCTATGGCGTTGAGCTCAGCTACTCTTAGACCATTCTTGTCGTTCTCGGCGAAGAAGACGAATCGAAACATTAGGAATCCATCTCTCTCCTTCGCCATCACTTGCTCATCATCCTTTGACGAACCATCGAAACCTTCTTCTTCTTCTACTCCACCTATTCGCGTCTCCTCGAGTGCTGCCCCTAAAGCTCGATTCGTCGCTCGTCAGAAACAGTCCGTCTCCGTGCGCCAGCTCCAACGACCTCTAAGTAACTTCAGCGCGGTTTGACCTAAATTTTTTGTTTCCTTTGGATTGTGAAAACTGGATCGGATTGTTTGATTTCGGGTTTGCTTCTTTCTTTATTTGTTGACAGTCGAGTATATGAGCTTACCTGCAAGTCAGTACTCGGTGCTTGATGCGGAGAGGATTGAGAGAGTTGATGATAACACGTTCAGATGCTATGTTTATACCTTTAAGTTCTTCAACTTCGAAGTCTGCCCTGTTTTGCTTGTCAGGGTCGAAGAACAGCCTAATGGCTGCTGCATCAAGCTCTTGTCCTGCAAGGTATTCTTCGTTTCTTCTGATGGAAATCAATTGGAGTGATAGAATTTGGAGATTAAGAGAAAAACTTGTAGCTTATAGACATAAGTTGAATCAAATTAATCTGCTACTTTGTACATATACGAGTTATTTTTGTGAAGATCGTGATGGTTTTTTCATTGTCTTGTGCTTTATAGCTTGAGGGATCTCCTGTTGTGGTTGCTCAAAATGACAAATTCGATGGTAAGCATATCCCTGTATATGATTCGATCTGTTAAACCCATTTCGAAAGTATGCCAACTTTGTGTGGAAGTGATCAAATAATATCTAGGTGACTGAGTTTGGATTTGGTGATCGTTGTATGGGCTTAACATTTGTTATTTTCTAGTCATGCAGCTTCTATGGTAAACCGGGTATCATGTGATGGCACTCAGGAGGGCTCATCAGAGCAACAGATTACATCAGATGCAGTCATTGAGGTAGCTAAATGTTTCATCTTTCTTTCTTTCTTTTTGCGTAATTGATCAGTGCATCGGGGTGGTGTTTCTGACTTTTATTTGGCAATCGTTAGGTCAATATCGAGATTCCTTTTGCATTTAGAGTCTTCCCAGTGGGAGCAATAGAAGCGACGGGGACACAAGTTCTTGACCAAATTCTTAGACTCATGCTTCCTCGATTTTTGTCTCAGGTATACAGGGAAACATATCTTTGAAATTTCCTCTTAATCGCTTATTCTGCATCAACGTGGTCCTTTAAGCTATCCTTTGTTTCTCAATGGCCGCTCTGTTTTTAGACTGCATGCCATATCATCCTGAGCCCTTTTTCTTCTCTAAAAAAAAAACTGTTTTACCCGTTTGGGAGGATGAGTCTCACATCTGAGCTTTCCTGTTGAGATATCTTTCGTATCTGAGCTGCTTGATGAGGCACTGTAACTTGTTCTTGGCCTTCATTTATGTCGGTAAAGCACATGTTGAACCAGGACCCAGGTGTCAGATTAACGTAGGCTTCTATGGTTTCCCTGTGTAAAACTGGTTTGTTGATCCCAAGCAGGTTGATCAAACTTTAAGAAAGTGTTCAGTCTGATTTTAACTCGCCGAAGAAAATGGAACTTGAAGGAAAGCTCTGAACCAACAGAGGATACAGCTAGTCAAATTAGATCAATCTTTTCTTGAGTTAAAGATATCTAGATACAGCTGGCTACTGAACCCTATGAGATTATGATTCTTATATTTATGTGATCCACGTTGTGCAAATTTGACAGATACACGTTCTATTTCCTGCTAAAATCATCCCAGCATTAATGTTGACATGCTCTTTTACTCGTTTTTCAGCTCTCAAAAGACTATCAAGCATGGGCTTCTGGAGATACTTCAAGGCAACCTCTTGGGACTGGCGAGATCTGATATCTACCTTGCCTGGTTCAGAGCACATGTACCTCCTCGAGTTCGCATCCGGAGATTAACAAGTTCTCCATCTTATTCAAATGTGTTCTTTGGGTATTATGACGACAAATGAATTTGTATTCCCTGGAATAATTGTTAAACCTTTTCAATAGAAGATGTTTGTTTGTTCCACTCTATTCTCATGTCATGTGGATGTCTACGTGTCATGTTAATCAAACCGGAAGTTCCTAAACCGGGTCTGGATTTGTACCAAAAATCTGTATGTTTGAATGCTGGTAGGGCCGCGAAAATGAGCTTGTTATTGGATGAGCCAGTTCCGATTCCAAACTGTGTTTGTTTAATAGAAATTTCATTTTTCACCACATGTGTCTTAATCAAAAGCAAAGCAGATTTAAAAAAAAAAAAACGTTAAGAACCTAGTAATGATACGTTTGTACTGTTCATTTTTGAACGCCAACGACGATACGTTGGATTTGAAAACCCCCGGCTAAATGACTAAATTAAGAGAAATAAAAGGCAACCAGGCTAAAATTGTCACTGGCAAAAAGATAGCAAGTCCCACACCATAATCGTACAATCTTAGCTAAAAAAACTTTGACATATTCCCACAACCCCGTAGCCTTCGTTAATGGTGGTGTACTGATTTTCTGTTTGCTGTATGGACGTGGCGTTCATCAAGCATATATTTATAGATATATACATATATTAGTTTATGAAAGTGTGACAAACCAAACTTTTTTTTTCTTGATTCTAGTCTATAACAAAAACGTGGTGAAAATAAGATGACCATATCTAAATGTGTAGACATGGCTCCTCTACGGCCACATTACCATTCAATACTTTCTATTTTAATGCCATTTAATTGTTTGATCTAATTCCATTTATTTCACCTCTACCCCCTGTAACCTAATTTATAAGCTATTTAATTACATATTCATTATATCCACCCTTTTTTTAAGCCAAAATAATTTCACTTTCTTTATATTTCCAAATTTATACTTAAAGAGTAAACGGATTTTCTGAACAGCAATCAGCTTCTTAGTGTTTTTTCTTTTTTTGTGTGTTAAATAACAATACTTCAGTAGAATTTAGTGAGATGAAACCTCCGTATAAATTTCAATAAGATAGAAAATTTGCAGAATTCACGATGGTAGACTGTACCAAACAAACCCGGCTAATTATTGTGCCCCACTAGCCAACCCATTTTTTTTTTAATAAATTGTTGTATGGATACTAATACTGAATTGAATAATAGTATTGATCTCATGTACCAGCATAACAATCATGTTGATTTTTACGGCGTGTATAAAAGTATTACACTTTATTGTAGGTACTTTTACGCACGATCTAATAAAATAAACCGGATCAAACACAATTAATAATTAACGACCATAAGAATTAATTAATGTATTTCATCATCGTGCTTATCCACCTTTATCTACATCGCATTTACAAGAACTCCATGAAAAAAGTATTTCCACAATGTAAACTATATTATAGCTAGTATTATTTGACCTTAGCTCTCATACTTACTACTTGTCGCTAACTGACGTCAAAAGTAAAGATCAATTTTTATCAAAAATATGTCAGTAAGTAGTAAAATATTGACAGCGAAGTTCAGTAACTATATAAAATCGTATATTCGTATGTCCGTATAAAAAATGGTAATACTGTAGGAGTATATATCATCGACACTCGACACTCAAATATCACAAACTCGCATAATAATATGTACTCCCTTCGTTTTACAAAGAGTGTCGTTTTAAGATTTTATTTTTGTTTCACAAAAAATATCGTTTTATATTTTCAATGCAAAATTTTTAATAATATTCCAGTTTTAATCCTATTAATTTAATGTATTTATTAGAAAAAAATAAATTATTTAATGTATTAATAAAGGACAAAATTATATTTTTAATATTTTTTTAATATGTGTGAAAATGATCAGACACTCTTTATGAAACGGAGGAAATGAGTATATAATAAAAAGTATTTCAGAATAACATGTAGTTCACTAAAAAAACAAAACATGCATGTACTTACCCAAAAAAAAATATATTATTGTTATGAACTAATTTGTTTTTGTTGTTATCAATTGTTAATGAACTATTGATATCCGATTTCCCGAGTACGTGACGGATGGGCACCCCTAATGAATAGTAGATTAATTTTTACGAGACGTCATCCACAACAACATTAAATTACATTAATTTACAGATCCCAAAGCCGTATTTATCGCTCTACCTGTCGGCTCAAAAATGTCAGAGATCAACATGAATTTCCGATCAACTTTACTTGATTACTATATTACCTTATTAGCTTGCAAAATAAGCAACAATCTATTCTTTTTACTAAATATAAAAATATATTAATTTTAAAATAGTTGGATCAAGGCATCATTATCTTTTTCCCGTGGCGTCTTTCACAAGCTCACGTAAGACACGCAACCATTACATATCTCACATCCTACCAAATCAACACCTAAAACGCCATTATCAATTTATGAAATTTATTACTTTTTAGTAATTTATATAACTTGATTATACTAATTACCCCCTTTTTGTCTGAATCTCATATGTCTTCCGAATTCTCAATATGATTTTTCATGATTCAGAAATTCTAAATCAAAACATGTACATATACCTCAAATTTAAGACTAAAACATGTTGTATGATTCTGTCTCAAATGTAATTCAATTATATGATTTCCATTAGGTGAAGTCTCAATATTTTCATGTAAATCAGAATTCTTTTCTTTTTTTTAAAATCTTACTATCTTTAAAATGCGAGGTTTAATCAGATCGGATCGTTGAGAGGCATAATTATGCACAACATGGTAACACATAATACAAATCTATCGTGGCCGACAAAAATAATTGCTTGCAAAGGCACCTCATTTTCACTCTTTTTCGTGATATCTCACTTACCTGATTATTTTTGAAATCGTTACTTATAATTAATTATTACCATCATAACATAAATTTCATATATTTTTATTGATCAATTCATGAATTTCATAAATCCGTCTTACGAAATCATATCGATAAGCTGTTATAAACAAATAAATGTTTTTTTTCTGAATTACTTTATAAGGCGATATATAGAAGGTTTTTACTAACAAGTTATGTAGATACTGATTTTTTTTGGCAGCATATATATACACATGTGCCTCAGTGGAAACTTATTTACGATGTCAGGGAATTACTGAAGTTGTTCATTCGTTTTCAAAACAGCTAGCGAAATTAGATGATTGAAAAAGTTTCATATAATTCAAATGAAATTAGTAAGAAAAAGAAAGAAAAAAAGATTCCGTCGATCAAACGCACATGTATATTTATAGAGTGGGTCGACGTGTAAAGTTGAGAATCATTACATAAAATTAAAAAAAAAAAATCGAAAAAGCTATCGAAATGAAGGAACCTTTAACATGATTGTGGTTAACTCCAATTATTGATCATCTCCGGGAACAAGAACGGAAACTTCTCCGCCGCCTGGTCACCGTGATAGCCGTCGTGGTGGTGGGAGATGACGTCATCGTCTGATTATAAACGGAGGAGAAGAAGCGATCGATTTCATCTTTGTCGACGATGATCTCATACTTTGATGACGTCATAAGCTTCCTCTTGCAAGATCTGAGGAGAGACGACGGCGTCGGAGGTGGGCGGCGTTTCTGCGGAGGAGGAGGAGGAGTAGTGGCCGTGGAGGGAGGAATCTTGTGGTCGGAGGAAGTGGGAGTGGTGCAGCCGCCGCCGCCGCCGCCGTTATCATCTCTGTTGGTGTTGGATCGGATCTTGATGGGTGATGGGAAATTCAACATGGGCAGATCTTGTATTAAATCAAGATCCATTTTTTTTTTATAGAATATGTAAATATTAAATTTATTTGTTCTTGAAGGTTTTGTTTTTGTGTTTTGGCGTGTGCCTGAACAAATCTTCTTAGAGAAGTGGACTTGTAGGTTTGTTATATATATGTGCTTCTGTCTTTACATACATGCTTTTCTTTTGTATATGTGTATGTATATATCTTGATATAATTTATTAGAAAGATAAAGAGATGAAAGAAGAAACTACACTTCTTCTCTTCATTTACTGCTTTTGACAGATCATAGTATAAAACAAAGCTACAATCCAAGTATATATACATTACTAATCAAAGTTTACACAATTCAGATAATGAATAAATTTGTATTCTATATTTTAGTTTGATCGTTAAGATAATTATTCTTTTTGACTAAATAACAATGTAGTTATAACTCTGTTTGTAATTTTCGTAAAAAACAAAAAATTTGCAATGAATTTTCGGAATGTTTTATAGTTTGGTCATTCTTTCTTGAATTTTAGCCATTTTGAACGTATACATCAAATTGTAACTCTAATTTTAACTTCTAATAGCTATTTTTACATCAGTAGAGAAAAAAAAAATCACTGGAAAGAAAGCAGGTACATAGTTATACATGCATCTCTCCAGCTACAAAGAGCTAGAAAAGTCCTAATTAATTGCTTAATTAAGAAACAAAAATATAAAATTTAATGTGAAAAAGAGGGTATGTATTCGTATTGTTAGATTGAGAGTTACATCCACTAAAAAGAAGAATCAAATCAAGAATATGGAGCCTATGTATATAACAGTAATTTTACTTTAACAGAGAATAGTCGTTTGAAAGAAAAAAAATCAAAATACTATCATTGCAAATGTAGACCAAACATGGATATAATTTTACTTTTAGAAGAAATAAAAATATAGAAACAAATCAAATTTTTACTAATGCGAATATATGCTAACAAATCTATATAACATGTATATTTGTTTGGTTAAAGTAGTAACATGCAAATGCTGCAAAGATAATCAAGCGGTAACATGCATAACAGTACAAGTTTAATTAATTAGTTTAATTGCAATAACTAATTTTTACTAATAAGATATATCATAGAAAATTAGGTATATACATAAAAGGATTCAAATTTAGTTTTTAATCTATAGATCCAATTCTAAACGTAGAGGTTGGTTAGAATTTATGTCGTGTACCGCTAAAGAAACTAGAGACATGTCATGTGTTTAGACTTTAGACTTTTTGTACATGCATATGACGTATCATTTACATGCATATTTTATTTCAACATAATTTTTTGTCAGAATATATATATATATATATATATTATAGTAGGTGATTTATATGTATTTATATTACGATCTGTGATATAATTGCAATCGGTTTAATTTCTTTTTCTGTGATCAATTTCAGATCCATAACGAGAGGAAGTAGCCTGATTACTTTTAATAAGTAAGATTCGATTGGTATCTTTTATGATTCTTGTTGATTAAGATATTTACTTCTGATCCGCACGACATCACACGTTCGTTTTAATCATGGTTATATATATGTGCCTTACATAGACTTCTGATGCCAATATATATATATATATATAACTATATACATATAATATATGGTTATTTGAAACTAAAAGTCAGCACAGATTGATGTAGAAGTATATACAGAGTTGGTTACTTGGTCACAACAGGAAATTACGTATTATCGTGCAGAGAATCTAACATCTAAAGATATGACACGTGTCAACTTTAGGGGAGGCATGTACTGTGATGTAGGGTAGATCTGTGTAAGCGACTGGCATTATCAATTTATCAGACAGTGAAACCCCAAAAAAAAAAAAAGGTACACATAAGAAGAAAGGGATCTCTCTGATCTTTCCCAATATCTGAATCTCACTGTCTTTATCTTTCTTTCCATTTTTTACTTTCATTTTAACACAAGTATAACTTTTTTTTTTTACTTTTACTTTTCGTTCGTAGACATGCATGGGCGCTTTTTTTGTGTGAGTTAGTTTTTCTGAACCATTACTTTTTTTTTCCCGATCAATCCTTTTGAGCTACTTTAGCTGTTACAACAAAAACTTTTGTTGCTTTTTTTTAAGAAAGGCAAAACTTTTTGGGTTGAAGTTCACTAAGCTAGTTAGCTTATAAAAGAACAATAGATTAATGTCTTATGTATATGATGATGTGTAAGAAATTGAACGAACAGAAACACATTAATGTAACTGGTATATATAAAATTGAGTGCCGGTTTGACAAGAATTCGAATATGACACTATATTTTGGGGAAAAATTAAAGAATATATATATATATATATATATATTTCAATTTTTTTTTCTCAAATAAAAATTGAAGAATATATACAAGAAAGTTGTTCTGATTCCAGTTTCATGCGGATAGATCTACGAACAAAAACGTAGCTATAGAACTACTCGATAAAAACAAGAAACGATGCATAAAGTCCTCGAAATGATATTATATACTATGGGAATACAATTTAGGTACGTGGTTTAGTTAGTAGGTATTAATTTTCAATATTTTATCTGTTGTAAAGTACGATGAAGACAAGGGAAGCTAGTAAAACGTAACGTGCATGTATCCGTAACAATCTATTAATCCTTATCATACTACCAAACTACAATTTCCCAAAATTTAATTTCAGATACTATTATTTGTTAATTTGCTTATTGATACCAAGTGGATAATGATCATGATGGTCCTCTCTTGGATGTTTATGTGTCATGTCTTTTTTTCTTTTTTGTAAAATGTATCAATTATCCAACTCTAATACGACAAAATGAAGATAATACGTTTTGTTGAAGATATAAAGATAATTTGTAATAAAATTTATGTCAAATTCTTGATATTACTTTATCCTATTTGTTAACTTAATTAAAACTAATTTTTTATTTAAAAATATGAATTCTGTTAGACGAGATTTATAGTTTAGTATTTTACAAAAAATGAAAACTTCCAATATCATCTCATATTGTAGAGTAATGTATATATGTATGTGTTGCAAATTTCTTCACAAACATCAAAGTTATCCAATTCGAAACAAATTATTTTTTTTATCCTTTTCTTCTTGTATCATCTATAAATCTTCCGAATCAGCTTTCAGTTGCCGCGCTTCTCGATCGATCATTGGATACCTAAAACAAAATCCGAGAGATTTGGAAAATTGGAGAGTAGGCTATATATATATAACTATAGGAGGGGAAATAGCTTAAATGGTAAAAATGATGAGTTAGGAAGGAAAGTTAGAAAGAAAGTATTGGGACCATTTATACCAAACCTCTCTTCCTCATCAACTTTTCTTGATTCTTTCCGATTGTCCCCATACCATTTAATTTTGTGAAGCCGTTACTTCACTATATTTCGATTGTTCCAGTTCATCACAATTAATAAATGCTTAACTCATTTGGGTCAGTTTTGATGTAGACATAGAAGAAAAGGAAGCTTTGCGCACGGTTTAGCTTTCCAAAAGTTTTGTAGGATTTAATTATTAATGGTCCCTCTTTGTTTAGTAGATGGCGAAAAAAGGGATTGTTGAAGTGTCCATCGAGTCCAAACTCGCATGTGAATCGGTCTGTCCTCAAATACTTTTGTCTAAAGTGTTTTGAGATATAGATAAATTAGGTACTAGAGCTTTACTATAATAATTTTCTTCTTTCTTTCTTTCTTTCTTTTTCTTTGTCGAACTAAGATTTTCTATGACAATCAAACACGAGGTGGTGACTCTGCATCAGGACGGTCGTTGGCATTGTTGGTCTTGAGTCATGTCATCTTCAACACTTGTACGGGTATTTCACTTTTCGAAAGCCCATTTTATTAATATTAATTAGAAAACGATATGATATCTTGTAGGAAAGCTAACAAAAGAATAATTCTTAATTTTAAACATTCGGGTTACAGAGAATAGTTTTTATTATTATTTTATTTAAGAAACATAACTGTTTTTTTGGAGCTACTTATGATTTCAGTTTTTTTGAAAAGTAGAACACCATCTTATATATAAAAGCTGACCAACTCTCTCCAATTGAGTGACACGTTAGTACTGGAGAGAGTGCCACGTATCCCGCCTGAATTGATTTCTTAAAAAACTCGGTTATGTTCAAAATTGGACTCAAATACAGGCCCAACAAAAGTGTAACGCAGTCAGTCCTTTATGGGCCAACAAGAGTGTAAAAATAATAAAGTTGATGAAGACTCTTATTTATAGTGCAGCTTCCACTACTCAATTATCCAAGTTTGTCCATGTGGACAAACCAAAAGACCCATTTTAAAAAAATGTCATAGGTATTTATATGCTTGAGTTAAATTTGGGTCTGCATCACATCAATATCAATATCTTCTAAGTCTATCATTATACACATATTTATACAAACTTTAGTTTATACATGTCAAATATAGCAAATTAATCTTAAAAATAAATAATTAAATAATTAAAATAATTAAAATAAATATAGAAACGAATCTACAACTAATCCTTGATTAATCTCTGCTTTTTTATCTAAGCGCTAGATGGACCTAGAAGACATATATAATTTTTTAAAATTAAATAAAAAAGAATAAATCAATAAAATATATATAACAAAAAAATCAAAATGGTAAATTAAATTAATTAACAAATATTATATTAGTAAGATTTACAAGAATAAAAAATATGAAAATCGAAGAATAAATAAATATTTCTATCTAATATTCAACGTATATTTTTAAGTAAACTATTACGTTTTATACAAAAATTAAAATAGTAGTATTTTAGTCCATAATTATTTTGGAAGAAAAAATAGAGTATTTGACACAACTACTATAGAAAAAATTACAAATAATATATCATCAAGAAGAAATCGAGAAAAATATAAATATTTTAAATAAATATTAATAATAAACATAAAATTCATTAGAAATTATTTAAAATATAAATTAAAGTAAAACCGCGCATATGCGCGGATTTTCTCCTAGTTATTTTAATTCATAGATGATCCCAAATATTTGAGAAATTATATTCTCTGGTTTGGTTGAGTAACCAGACGGGTCGAATTGTAATGATGATAATTATGCTGCATCAACATCAAAATCGCCTTATTCTGGAACCAATGAATTGTACTGTATATAC